AGTAGCCTTAGCTACTAGTTTAGCTTCCAGACCCTTTATCATTTTTATTGCTCTTCTCTGGACTCTTTCTGGTGCCTTTTGTATCATGGTAACCAGAATCTCATACAGTATTCCAAGTGTGGCTTATTAATGCGGTATAGTGTGGTACTATCACTTCCCATGATCTTGATATTATCTCTCTATTGATGCAGCCTAGGACTGCATTGACTTTGTTGCAGCTGCAACATACTGTCCATCACCACTTATCACCATAATGAAGTAGATTGCATTTGGCGTGTGGCTGTTCCAAAATTATTCTATAAAATGCTATGGCTGAAGTATTCTTGAGCAGGGGTTCTCAACCTTGGCAACTTTAAGTCTTGTGGACTTCAACTCCCAGAATTCCTCAGCCAGCAAAGCTGGCTGAGAAATTCTGGGAGTTGAAGTCCACAAGTCTTAAAGTTGCCAAGGTTGAGAACCCCTGCTCTTGAGGTTGCCTTGTATCAGGCTCTCTCTAATTACACTCAATCCCTCTCACTAGCGTATCTCACTGATTTTGCCTATGAATAGTATATGATTTTTTTTTAATGTTACTCTTTCCTAGAGGCGGGGAGTTATCTTAAATTTGAGGTGGGCTTCCTTTTAGTTGGATTTATTGGCTTGTTTGGAAGAATTTTTCAGCTGCTATAAAACACTATTCAACTCAGGGTTCTTAGTTTTTAATGGTATGTATTCACTGTCTCTGTCAAAGGACTGTCGTCTGGTCCTTATGGGCACTATACACTCCCTTCACATTCTGCCCATTTAGTCTTGACCAAAATTTGGACCAAAACAAGAGGACTACTGAGACAATGTGTAATTACAACATTGCAAAAGACAAAAAAGAGGGTATTGATGTTGCTTAGCCTTTTACTCTCATGCTCTTCTTATGTCTTATGCTCTTCTTGCTTAATGTGATGGGTGCTGTAGTCCAGCACTGTTAGAAAACTAGGCAGCTTATGTGGCTGTTAATGTTTAACTTAAACTAGGTTAACTAGCAATGAAAAATAAAGTATTTAACCACTGTCCTACCTTAGATCTTCCTCCGCAACAACTATTTTTCTTGATCAAATCATGTTGTGTTTGTTGCCCAAAAAACTAGGCAGGCTTTATACTCACTTTTTTTCTTCTGTTATAATGGTGTTGTTTTGAAACTGAGAGTGTAACTGAGAGTCTGCTGTATCAGTACTTTTTCATCAATCCATGGCTTTAGATGTTATTAAATTGATGTAATACATTTGGCCTCACTTTAAAGGATGAAGTATGAGAAGCAGTCCAAGACACTCTCAGATAAATTTTGTGTTTTGTGCAATTTTAAGCTAGAGCATAGTACGCAGAGTTGTTTTATGCAACATTAAATATAGTTCTAAGGAAAGAAAAAAATGATGATGAATTAGAAATTTCCTGTTAGGAATTCTTTAGGGTGAAAATGCATTGAAACAAAGCTGATAGTATGAATGGATTGCTATTTTAAACATAATTGCAGCTGAAAAAGCACAAAGGTACTCAATTCCATACTCAAAATTATTCAATTCCAAGTATTTTAAATATCTGGAAGTACTTTCTAGAGAGTAATTTTTATTGTCAGGAAAATTTTCATTTCTGCTTGGAAAAGGTTTTTAAAGGATTCTTGGAATTCAAAGGGTTGTAATCAGAAAGAAAAACAAATAAAAAAGTGTGTTCCTGGTCTATGAAATGTCAATGGTCTATGAAATGTCAACAATCCTTTTCTTCAAGAAGTACTGGAGAAACATCTGTTTAAAATTGTGGCAAATAAGTACAACAGAAATGAGATGGATAAGTTATTATTGATTAATATAATTGCTTGTTTACTTCAAGTAATTGCTAGTACAGCAACATATAATTACAAAACCCTGTAATGCACAAAGAGAACACAGGACAAAATAAATTAAAAATCTGAATGCTTTATAGAAAAGCCTCTTTATGTTCTGAATTAACAGGCAGATTCGAATCTAAATTTTGCTATTACAAGAAATAGTTGATCGGTACAAAATGTCCATTTTTAGAATACTTTTGCATATTCTAGATTCCTGATCGATTTTGGATTGTAGGAATTAAATGCATCTATAGTCTATAAAGAAAGTTTAAAGTTAGTAAGAAGCGGGTATGGATATCTTTAAGACGTTCTCACTATCACAATTTTGTATTAATAATCCAACATAGGCTCACTGTGAATTACCATAGGGATTCAAGAAGTTAACACCCATTGCACACAACATTTGTGAAATGCTGGTGAAATATTCACCACTGAATCTTCAACATTAGAAAATTTTGCTTTTCTTCACAGCCAATTGTGTTTTTCTTTACTACCAGTGAAAGAGGTATTATTCACCTCTCCTCCCACCTCCCACATTTGAGGTCATGTTTTGAAAGCTTGAATTATTCTCCCTGTGGGAACAGAGTGTTCTGCTTCTATGCATTGGCTGTTAGTTTTAGATGGGCACAGAATATATTCCCATCTCATCAAAGTGTATTTTGTTTAATTACATATATATGATGTCACAGTTGTGACTGCTGCCTGTGTATGGCTCTAGTTTGAGCTGATACAAGGCAAAAGATTTTTCTCCCTCCCATATTTGGGCAACAGGGTGTAACATACTAAAAAAGAAGGGCATGTCAAACTAGAGTCATTATTCCTAAATGTAGAGAAATGTCTCTGCTAATTCAGTGTCCAAAGTTTTTTTTGGGGGGGGGGGGCCTCAAAAGAGATCTTTTTACATACTTCCACCACAGGGTGGGCTTGGGGAATTAAAGCTTGAATATTAAATGGCAACCTGAGTGTTTGTCAATTCCATATGTGATCAATCAAGCTTAGCTTTATTTTAGTTGTGTTTTCTTACCTTGTGCCTTTAATTTCTTTTATTTTCTGTTCTTTGCAAATTCTTACTCTCAAAGGAAGTCAGTTGAAAGGTACATATAATAAATATAAGCTTTATAATTCAATCTGAAAAAAAGCCTTTGACATGAAATACTAAAAGTATTGAGTTTAATGGATAAATAATGTAACTGCATATAATATAATTTTCACTTTTTTATTATCTTGTGTTCTTGCTACAGATAATTAGGATGTGAGGCCCAGAAATGTACATGAATTTTAACTGGCTAGAAGCAGTAAGAATTTAATTAGCATATTAATCTTATTTTTTTTAATCAGGCGGCCTACTATTTTTCCACATTATTGAAATTTCTTACTGAAGAAAAGGAAAATAAATTAACTTTCTGTTAAAGATTTGGAGAAGAGTTCTGTCTTTTCATGTTTTGTTTGATATCCACTAACAATATTATATTTATAACTGACTTTACATACAATTAAATCTATATTTTTGAGGGACAAATAAGAGAAAACCTTCAGTGTATTCATGTAAAATAAGATTTAGGACTGATAATTAAAAAGATCCATTTTTGAGTCTTTATATTCAGCATTTGCCCATTGATGTATGTGAGACAATTCATTACTCAAATAGTATGATTTTAAGCTTACTTGTAAATTCTGCAGCATCGCTGTATCTAATTAGAGTTTTTTAAGCTTTGGATCGTATGCAAACAAACAGATGCACTTTTTAAAAAAGAAACTTTAGAGTCGTCTTGTCTGCTTATGTCATTTCCTATTTTCCTCTCAGTAATTATTGATAGAGTCCTTGACTCATGTGCAGAACAGTATGAAAAATGGTGATTTCTTCCCACAACCTGCACATGTTCTAGCATAAGGTAGGTTGATCTAGATCAGTGTTTCTCAACCTTGACAATTTTAAGGCATGCTGGCTGTGGAATTCTGGGAGTTGAAGTCCACATGCCTTAAAATTGTCAAGGTTGAGAAACACTGATCTAGATGCTCATAGAAGATTTGGCAGATCTAGGGGAACATTAATAATGCCTTTATTGGCTCATAATGAAATCCTCAGTTAACAGATCCATTATAACTTTTACTTAAACAATTAATGTCATGTTTGTAATTTAAACTGTGGGAAGTATGGAATTAAAACTATATTGACTCCTGAAATGCCTTGGTTTAGGTCTTTCAGAGTATCTTTTGTGGACAATACATATGCAGAGGAGGCCCTCTAGTGTCTCAGTGATGTACAGTTTTCCATTTACACGTTTCATAAATCTGGAGATCAAATAAAACAGCCCACGTGTATAATAATACTCTCTCTACAGAATTAGAAAGGACCTCAGGTGTAGTTCACCTGCCAACATAGGGAATATAGTACTACTACAGTATCACTGACAAATGAGCAAATCCAGCCCTAGCATATAAAATGTCTGTATCAACGTTTGATCAGCTCGTATCATGCTTTGGATCATAGGGTGATTGTTATGGAAGCAAGTGAGAGGATTAAATACTTTATGTATTGCCTTGTTCCCCTGACAGCTAAAACTAACATATAAATGACTCTTTTTTTCTTCAATATGAATTAAATGGGTTTAGAGAAACATGCTCCATACCCTATGGGACCATTAACCACTTATTTTAAGAAGGTAGCTATCACAGTTTGTGTGAAATGTAGTTGCTTGTATTATATAAGTTTTTGGCAATACTTACTTCAGAGTAAATCATTGAACTTAGCTTGAATTTCAGCTTGCAGAAATAAAATTGTACTATTGATGTCACTCTGAGTTACAGAGACAATGAGGTCTTCAAGCCAGAAAGAAATCTAAGATTTGTAAATCCAGTTTAGTCCCCCATCATAATGCCAATTTCATCCTTTCTTTTATCTGCTTCCTTAATAAAAAAAAACTTCTGGTTGTCAGAGAGCTCCTCAAATTAACTCACAATGTATTAAATATAGCAATAAAAGATTACAATAACGAAGGCCAGAGCACGATGAAAGCAATTTACAGCAATCTACCAACTCTTTTACTCTCCCAGTCTATATGGTATGAGAATGTGGTATGAAAACATCAGCCAACATTATTGTGTTGCCTCAGAAGAATTCTAACCTGGCAATCTTTCATTGCAGTCCTTTTAGAACATTATGCATCGCCTTTGAAGTGCTACAAGGCTTACAGTATCTCAATGAGCATGGACTAGTCCACCGAGCGCTCTCACCTCATAATATCCTCATGGATGGAGAAGTGAGTCTTTGGCTATTAGTCTTCTATTATGTATTATATATGGAGGTCAGAGGCCTGAGGAAAAGCCTGAAGCAATTATATGAGCAATTCTAATTTCACCTTCCCCCCCCCCCGCCACATTTACTCCTTTACAGGTAGTCCTCAATTTACGACCACAATTGAGCCCAAATTTTCTGTTGTTAAATGACACATTTGTTAAGTGAGTTTTGTCCCATTTTACGGCTTTTCTTGCCATAGTTGTTAAGTGAATCACTGCAGTTGATAAGTTAATAACCAAATTGTTAAATGAACTTGGCTTCCCCATTGATTTTGCTTGTGAGAAGATCGCAAAAGGTGACCTTGGGATACAGCAACAGTCATAAATATGAACCAGTTGCCAAGTATTTGAACTTTGATCACATGACCATGGAGATGCTGCAAAGGTTGTAACTGAAAAACAGTCATAAGTCACTTTTTTCAGTGCCATTGTAACTTTGAACGGTCACTAAATGAACTGTTGTAAGCCGAGGATTACCTGTATTTTCAGAACTGGAAGAAAATGATGCCTATTCCCAGCCATTCAGCATGGAAGGAAAGCTGAATCTTGTGAAAGTGAAATTAAGTGGCTGGATGCATGTGTTTGAGCATGTATGGTATGTTTGTAGATGGATTTGGAAGAGAAAGAGAGGAAGACAAAAGGAGTTTTTGACTATTAGAGTGAAAATGTGCATGGGAAATAGGCAGATTAAAAGGACTCCCCATTTTCTTTCCTTTCCAATAAACCTGCCTAGCTCCAACTGAACTATCTTCAATTTCTCCTGAAGTTGTATTTCCATAAAGATGGTCCACTCCTGATCTATATAATAAAGCCTTCCTTAAAATAATTTAACTTCTCATTTATCATGAATGTAAAAAATGTATGTGTGCTCCATGGTAGAATATACCAGTGAAACAAATAATTGTTCATTCACTCAAGCTATAACAGTTATGTTTGGGAATTGTCATAAATAACACTTTTCTGTCCTCAGAAATGTTATCTTCAGTTTTGATTAATCACCATTTCTTACTTAGTTAAGGTCACAAACTCTGGCTAAATATGGTATATTTGAAACAAGCCAGAGTATATAAATAAGTCACCAGGCTAAACATAATATGTTTGGGTGCATTTTGATAGAGTGGATTGTTTAAAAAAAAATTAACATTTAAGAACAGGCATGCAAAAGAAGAGTTTTTTTTAAAAAAAGAAAGTGTTTCTTTTTACACCACTGGGAAGTTTTTTCAAAATTTGTCCATATGAATTAGAACTTAAAAGATTTTTATTGATTCTTATTTCTAATATACAAGGCAGAAAACTTTGCCAAATAATTAACTTTGTCGAGTTTCTTTTAACAGGGGCATATTAAATTGTCAAAATTTGGCCTTTATCATATGACTGCTTATGGTGTAGATGTTGATTTTCCTATAGGGTAAGTTAGTTGTCTTGAAATAACCATAATCATATATGAACATTATAAGAGTAATTTTATAGTACATTTGACTAAGATTAATGTTTTCTGTTCCTCCAATATTCAAGAAATATTGTGTACGCATATAATAAAATCACCTAGTAAAGGCATTTCTCATTAGAATCATAGAAATGTCACTTTCTATGATTTTTATGGCAGCTGTTCCTCATTGGAAGTGATCTGTTGCCACTCATTGATGCTAAACATCAGCAGCCAATTCTCCCCTGCTTCTGCTAGTGCAGATGGCTGAACATGCAGTTGACCAGTCCTCTTGATGCCAGACAGACCCATGACTGTGTCTTCCTCAGCTCCTGAACTCCCTGGACACTCCTGGGGATTCATGCCACCCCTGTCTGATGGCCCCAGTTCTGGCTCATCTTCCTCCTCCAAACCAGCTTCCAATGGGGCCATCACCGAGGGGGGGGGAGGAGGAGGCAGACAGACAGACAGACCCTGACACACACAGACTATTGCATTAATGAAATCACATTAACTGAAATGATGAAATAATACCAATAATAATGGGATAAAAAAGGAGAAAATGTGCTTAGGAAATTGTGTAATAGAAGGAACACTCTGAAAACTGTGAGTAATTTGGAAAAAAGGTATATTTGTTGTCTTTACAGTCGACTCAGGAGTGCATTTTAGACCTTTAAAAGCATGCTTTGACTTTAGACACCAAATTGTTCTCAATTTCCATGGCCTTCCTATACCTACAAACTGACTTTAATGACAGAATACGTTTTTTAAAAAGTTCTTCTGCCATTGTGACCGTTCAATAAAGAAAAAGATAGGCATTGACAAATGGGTTGTGTGAAGTTTGTTTGTCATCACCTGCTCCTGAATAATATTTTTTTAAAACAAAGTTTAACAAAGCTTGAAGCACAATTTGACCACTGATTAACTTATCCCATTGTCTGGTGGAATAAACAGTAAAACGTGTTGTGAAACTAAGAAATTATAAAAATCAATCCCCATATGATACATAAATGTTTTTTTTCAAGGTAATATCTGTGTGTGACCATGTGATAGCAGGAATAATTTGTCTCAGCATGATCTTGTTGCTTTGTTTTAGCAAAATTTTATTTTAATAAGATGACTTTCATTTTTTAGGTACCCATCATACCTGGCCCCTGAAGTAATTGCACAGGGAATTATAAAATGCAATGATCACATGCAGATTGAAAAGGCCCTACGTTCTGGTCCTAAATCAGATGTGTGGTCTCTTGGTATTATATTATTTGAACTTTGTATGGTATGTAACATGTTTTTTTATATCATTAAGGGGAACTGTAGTTGGACCACAACTTTCAACTTCATCAGAACTTTCAAAGTCATTAAGTATTAGTGATGATAATACATCTGAGCAGCCCCAGCTTCAGGAGTGCTCTTTTTTTTAAAAGATATTTGAGAACCATGCTTGGTATATTTTCATTCTAGCAATGAACTTTCTTTGAATCATTTCACTTAAGACAAAAATAAATGTCCAGAAAATATTGCAATTGTTGCACTGCCCTTTTCCCCCTTCTGCTAGTGGTATGGTCCAGAGGAAATGCAGTCTTGAGATAGGCATACAAATCTTTTATGACTGCACATTTTTACTGAGGTCTGTTTAAAAACAACAATTACTTATCCTCATGGATGTATCAGTTAATACATGATTTAAGTACACACTACGCAATTCATAATAATGCTTCATTAATCACCCCCCCCCCCTTTATTGTTGCCTTTAGGGCAGAAAGCTGTTCCAGAGTTTGGATGTAGCTGAAAGACTAAAACTGATACTTAATCTTGGTGAGTAATGTACAAATAACTGCAGATCATTGAAGGCCTCTAAAATCCCAAATGACTACCTAGTCATTATATAGGCTCTGGATTGCCTTTTTTTTTTTCAGTGTGTCTGAAAATTGGATATATATTCAGTCAACTCTACCCCGTAATAGCAGCATAGCACTGTTGCTTTGATAATGCTAAAGAATAAAATAACTGAAGATTATCAGGGCAGTGATACAAGGATGGTTCTGGAATGGAATAAATCTTGACTGCCTACAAAGTAGTTTCAAAGAATATACCAACCTATCCCTTCATTATTCTTTTATGTATTTTAACCTTATTTCTTGACTTGGTTGATACCATGTCATCCCTTTTACAAACACTGGACCTGTATATAATGGCTACATTTTGTATCTGAAAAACAACATCCACAGAAGATATAGCACACCAATTAAAGCAGCCTCTGTGGATTTTACTCCGCTAGTCATTGCCAGCTATAGGGGGCAGTGCTCATTTCCGTTTCAAGGCCATTGAACCAGCATTGTCCAAAAATATTTCCGCAGTCATGTGGCCCGCACAACATCGTGAAGCACTGTTACTTTTCTACCATAGTGGTATCTATTTACCTATTTGCCTGCTTTTGAATTGCTAGGTTGGCAGGAGCTGGGGTGAGAATCAGAGCTCACCCCATCGTGTGGCACGTAGGTCACGAACCTGAGCTGCCAGTTTTCCAGCCAACAAGTCCAGCATCTTAACTGCTGAGCCACCGTGCCACACCAGAACATATAGGTGGGGTGAAATTGGTGTGACCTTACTAGTTGTTATACTAATTAATCTTCTCTTGAATTTGCTACAACTGATCTATTTTTGTATTGTTTTGATCAAAGAGGAGCTACCCTACATTTTTTAGGCTTATCAGCCCTTCCATATTATGAAACATATTTATATATTGTATATTTAATACTGGAATAAGCAACTTTACCCAGATTTCTGTTGCCCATGTAATTTTAATATTAATTTTTGAAAAAAATGTGCAAAGCTGTTGTGCTTCAGCGCAAAATATCAACATCTAGCATCTTTATTTTCAAGAATGAAAATAGACCTCTAGGCAGAAAATAAAAATATTGAGTAGCAGCAGCCCAATGCTTTGTTTGAAAGTGTGCCTGCTTACCCTGAAAAAATATAAAAACAAACATGGCAGACAGTATACCATGGGCAAAGAGGAAACAGTAGAAAGTAATATTACCAGTTTGCCTTCTGTTTACTAAGATTGGCTTTTGGCTATGCCTGAACAGCAGTCATTTTACAAGTATGGAAGACCTCATAAAACAGTCATATTTGAACACCCATGACATTCTCTCAAAGTTCTAAATTTGCCGACAAGTTGAAAAAGTTGTTTATTCCTGGTGTATTTCACAAACAAAACACAAGTTGATTTTCATTGTTGTGCTTAAAGTGCTCAAATAATTTTGATCTCAGATATTAGAATGAAATTTATTATGTGAATAGTGGGTACCCAAAATATGAGCTTTCTCCATAGAGATGGGCATTTTCCACATTTTCTAAGAGACAATATTTTGAAATTCATCTCAAGATATGAGGACACTTTTAAAATTATTGGGTTATATCTTTTTTATTACTATAGAATAATGTTATTTCTTTGTATACATGAGAGCCAGTTTGGTGTGCTGATAAGTATGCCCACATAGAGTTATGCCCCTGCAGAAGATATAGCAAAAATGCCTACTTGTCCTTCTATTTGCTAGATTATCCACTTTGTACATCTTAGTTCCACACACTTCTGGATGGGTGTTTTGCTTTTGAGAGACCATATTTTATGTGTGCATAAAAGAGGAAAAAACTTTTTCTAGAAATGTAAGTAAAGAATTACTAACAACTCATTCTCACCTGCAGGGTGTGTTGATGACATCATAACAGTGCTAGCTGAGGAACATGGATGCTTGGAGATTCTGAAGGTCCGAATTTCTTAATTATAAATTATAATTATAATTTTTTCTTGAAGCATAAACCAAAATATTTAGTAACAATGTCTTTAAAGAAACTCCTGGATGCTCAGCTTGATTACTCTATGAATGTCCACAGTTACTGGATATTCATTCTTATCTGCTACATTAAAACTGTTTTTGTTTTTTCAGAATTGGCATATAATAAAAAAAAATCTGCTGGGTAATAGTCCATGACCATAATAAAGATTGATTGAAAATCTGTTGCAGTATATTTAGTTGATTTTTTTCAGTATAGCAGATATAGTTTATATACCTGTTCTTGATTGTAAATCAGAAGAATATTTATCTTTAATTCATTTTGAAAGAAACTGCCTAATTTTTTTGGCACATTTTGCTTAGTCTTTGTATATAACATGCAGACATAGCCTACTTGAATGTAGGCACATTTCTCAGATGTTGCTCCAGCCTTGTTGAAACTGTCACTTTAGAATTAAGATTTGCTCCAAGTCCATCTGGGTGTCACTGAAAGTGGAACCTTTTGAAAGAGTATTTGCTATCCTTAATTTATTTAACTTTTAATTAGTCATATAGGTTCATTTGTTGATCTTATTTTACTAGATTTTTAATCATTTATATATTTTTCATCATGGCAATTACAATTGCTCCTTGTTTTGCAACTTTGATTAGTTATTGGTTTTAATTTATTTATATATGTGGATGTTTATGGCTATTGTAGCTGTCCATTCTTTTGATTAAATCATATAAACCATCTATATTGATTTGATATGAATAAATGAGTTAACTAAATTGAAATTTATATTTTACACACTAGGAAGTTCCTGAAAATATTTTAGCTCTACTTAAGAAATGTCTTACATTCCATCCTTCCAAACGGTAAGTGTACCTTACAAATACATTAGATAATTAGACTTGAAATAAGCAGAACTACAAAAGTTACATATAGTTTGTTCCTTTGTATTTTATAAAATGAAAACCATGGATATATCAGTCTACTTTGAAAACTGTATGTCCATTAAGTTTAACAAGCTTTTTGACCATACCTAAACTATGATCAAGCATATTTAGACTTGCAGTTCTTTAAGCGTGGACCAAAAGGAAATCATAGATATCAAATAACCACGACTTGTGAATTTTTTTAAAACAAAAAACTTCAGTCACATTTTACAGTTCTAGTTAACATCTAGAAATAAATTATAGATTCAACAAGTTGTGTTGCCAACATAAGCAATAAACAACCAAGAAAGGAGAAGAACCAAGCTCAGAGAGCAGCAAGGACCCCCATTTCAGCCCTGAGCTACAAATAGGTTCCTTTATTGCTAATTGATATTGTTTGATCTTTGACTGTATTATATTCAAGAAGTGTTCTTACGATACCTCTCCTAATTATGCAAGCACTGCCACCCTTCTTTGTGTTTCATGACTACAGTAATAAACAGTGAGATCACTGACTGAAAATGTCCAGGCCTAGTCCATCTCAAATTGATGATGCCTGAAATGTCAGTCTGTAGTCAATTCATTTCATCTTTCACTGTCTTCACTTTTCCTATGTTCATGCAGAATTCTTATTCTGTCTTTGCAAATTTGGATTTTCTTTTTCTGCATGGGTAACATCATCAACATCATCAATGAGGGTGCTTACTGAAAGGTGATTGAAGGTTTGGTGAACTGATGTAAGGAAAACAGCCTAGATTTAAATACGGGAAAAACCAAAAAGATCATTGTCGAGTTCAGAAAAAGCAGGCACAGCCACACTTCTCTGTGCATCAATGATTCATCTGTGGAGATGGTTACCAGCATCAAATTCCTGGGTGTGCAGTTAACAAGTAGGCTGGCTTGGTCGCTCAACAGTGAGACACTGGTGAAGCAGGCACAGCAGCCCCTGAATTTTCTGCATTGCATGAGAAAAGCACATCTTCCTTCTCTCATCCTTACCACTTTCTACAGAGGGACCATTGAGAGCATCCTGTCATACAGCATCACAGTCTGGTTTGGAAGCATCACTGCTTCAGACAGGAAGGCAGTGCAGAGAGTGGTGAGGATGGCTGAAAAGATTTTTGGCAGTTCCCTCCCTTCCATCCAGGACATAGCAGAGAAGCGTTGCTTGAGCAGGGTCTGTAAGATTGTCTGGGACATTACACATTCTCTTCACGACCTGTTTTCCTTGTTACCCTCTGGGAGGAGGCTCCGTGGTATCTGAAGCAGAACATCCAGTTTCAGTCACAGTTTTGTTCCATATAGTATTAACCTTGTGAATTCTCAAAAGCTTTCTCCTTCTGTTATATATTCAAGATGGACAGTGATTAATATTTATATGTTATTTACATGTAAGAGTATAGGTCTATACATATGTTGTATATTTTATGTTTAAATGTGTGTTATGTATGTGTACACTTTTGAGAGAAGCAACTAAATTTCATTTTTGATGTGTGCCATTGTGCCCACAGTAAAAAATGGCAAGGTTGTCTGCCTGCCTCTACTACATATTGTATCGTGAAGCCTTTAATCTATCATAAACATATTAGTATTCCAAAAAATCCTCAGCTTTTCTCAGTAGTATGTGAAGTACTGCATCCAAACTGATAGCTCAACATCTGCCACTAGATTGTCAGTCATTTTATATTTTATTCCTATGTGACTTTCTTAGTATACAGGAATAGTTTACCATTGTCTTCTCTTAAATAGTATGGAATTCCTTTCTGTTCTCATAAAATAATCTTCTTCCTCCAAATTCTTCCTGTATCACTACTGACCAGGATAAATAGCTGACCAGTCTGGCTGACCTTCACATTATGGCTGACCCTTTTGGGATTATATATACTGGAATGTGCTCCTGGCATTTTTTACTCATTACTCTCAGCAGCAATGCACACATATATACCAAACCATGATGAGGCAGCAAAGCAGGACTTGGGAGTTGGGGTAGATTGTAAAATTGTATCATCAGTTTTAATTTAATGACACATTGAGTCAGTGCTCATGTGATCCATGCTGCATGCACAAATAGATTATTTTTGTGAGCAGTTGAATACATAAATAATTTGGCCTTGAGGATTGACTATGAGTTAAAGAGTTTGCAAAATATAATGCTGGGTGATTTGCTTTCATTGCTAATTAAAATAGATGCAGTGAAAACAGAGAGCAGTTTATGAAAAATAAGTTTATATATAATACATCTGGGGAAAAGTGCATAGGGCTGTATGAATGAATGTATATATAATATGCATTGTTTGGATTTTTATTATATTTTTGCCTTCATTTCCTTTTTCTATTATATCAGACCTACTCCTGGAAAACTATTGAATGATTCAGTGTTCAGTGAAATTTCATCTTTATATCCAACCTTCCATACACCTGTCAGTTTTTTCTCATCTAATCTAAGATGTGCTCATTTATCTCTTCCTGAGGATATTAATGAGTTATTTCAAGGTAAGGCAACAGGTTCCAGCTATTTCCTTAGTGTTACCAGACTAGCAAGCAGGAGATAATGAGGCCTTTCTTGCCATGAAATCCAGCTGGGTGACCTTAGGCTGGTCACTCCCTTTCAACCCAACTCACCTGACAAGGGTTGCTGTTGTAGGGAAAGTATGAGGAAAGAGTGTTGGTTATGATCGCTGCCTTGTAAAAATAATAAAGTCCGGGTACAATCCATGTTTATTAGTATTGTCCTCTTTCTCCTAAAACATAAGGATAGCATATACCTGTGCCATTTTAATTCTAAAGTTCTTTGATATGTAACTATTTATAACTCTACAACTAATAACTCTTTTGTATCCTGATAATTGTAGATTTCAGATGCTCACATGAATGTTTCATGCCTAGTTATGTGAACTGAAATCCCAGGCTGTAGATTTTAATGAAATGTTTGCTGGGCAGTTAGATTACAGCCAACAGTAAGGAAAATGATCATATGATAGCATACAAGAAAAACCATAAGATCCACAGTGATATGTTCAGTCCCCAGCCTTTTCAATTAAATAAATTCTAGGTAAGAGAATGAGACCTGAAAGAGTTGTGACTTTTTAAACAGTGCTACTTTGGATGAATTTAGTGGGTTAATTACACCTTTTATTCTGTTTGGTAAGGTTTTTTTTAAAAAAAAAAAAGATTTTCAGATTCATTCAAAAGAAAACTTTATTGTGCATACATGTTTAAAACATTTGCATTTGGGCTGGTATCTTCCACATGAATCTATAGTTCTTATCGTCCCCATCTATCATGGGCATTAGTCATTAGATTTAAGATGATGATTTAGGTTCAGTTTTTCTGAAGACACTGATTTGGGAAAATGGGTGATACTATTCTTACTATAGTTTATGGAACAGACATACACATTTTGGATTAATTTAGTACTCATCTTGCATTCTATTATGTTATTGCTGTTGTATGACATGAGATTGAAGATAAACCCAGTTTGGTGAATGAATGAAGTATTGAATTGCTAACAAATTGTTATGGAAACATTGGCATTCTTCCTACAGGGCAGCCAATAGATTGTCCAGCTGGTTTCCTTTTCTTACAATTTTCCCTCCTGCTTAGAGAGAAAATATTGTTTCTGTTTGCTAACACAGGAAGATTTTATCTGCAAACCTTTTATTCAGTTTTCAGGGGAAAAAAATACATGTTTTTGAACCTAGAGAAAAGAAAGGTGCATGAAAATGGATATAATAATTGTCTTTAATAGTTGTCCTTGTTTAATTCTATTAATAGAGGAAAGTTCTGATTATCTAGCAGAAAGGACAATTGAAGAAGTTTATTATCTTTGGTGCTTGGCTGGAGGTGACTTGGAGAAAGAGCTTGTCAACAAGGATATCATTCATTCCAAGCCTCCCATCTGCACACTTCCTATGTAAGATATACAGGCGGAAGGGGAAAGGAGAGCACTCTGTTTTGGGGAATAAAATCAAGAAAGAAATATATAAATGATAAAATGAAACTGGCTTTTAAAAAGGAACAGGGCCAACAGTCTGAAAGTCTAGTTCTGAAAGTTGAAGTTGCCTACCCCTGAACTAGTTGCATTATTCACTATTTGCACTTTCTGTTTCCTTGAAAAAGTATGGGAATTTGTAGAAAGATCTTCAGAGGTACTCTCTGCAGACATACAGATTCAGTTAAAATATTTCTCAGCTAAACATTTAATTGTATTGATTTTATTTATTTCCATTTCTATAGCTGCTCATTGCAGTCAATGACTTAGTTGCATGATTAATATCATGCAGCTAAACAATTTAAAATTAAGATATAGGTGCCTATAGGTGGGTAATCACTTGAAATAGAAATACCCACCTATCCATTTGAAGACAGGTAACAGCAAAAGCTGTTTGCATTTGCAAAATTAACTATACTTATTTTGATTAGCATCCTCAACTTCTCAAATATACTGTATTTTCTGGCGTATAAGATGACTTTCTAAACCATGAAAATCTTCTCAAAAGTTGGGGGTCGTCTTATACGCCCAGTTGTCTTATACGCCGGAAAATACGGTACTTTTTTATGTGTAAATTATGTTAATTAACAAGCAGAAGCAGAGTAAGATTATGTCCCTAAATGTATGAAACTGCAGACTGATCAAGTGTCAGTATAAATACAATGAAAGCAGTTCTATTGAATATGGGGGGGAGAAAAGCCTACATGAGCTAATGCTTATTTATTTATTTATTTATTTATTTATTTATTTATTTATTTATTTATTTATTTATTTATGAATGAGACTTATATTCCGTTTTAAGTGCAAGCACTCTCTAAGCGGTGTACACCAGTAAGCAATGTATATATATATTTACATTGCCCCCAACAATTTGGGTCCTCATTTTACCTACCTCGGAAGGATGGAAGGCTGAGTCAACCTTGAGCCGGTGAGATTTGAACCGCTGACCTGCTGAACATAGTCAGCTAAAGTGGCCTGCAGTACTGCACTCTAACTGCTGTGCCACCTCGGCTCATTGTTGTTACGTTGAAATTTGTTTTCCTTTTTCTTTTTTATTCCTAGTTTTTTGTTTGAAGATGGGGAGAGCTTTGGACAAGGGCGTGATAGAAGTTTCCTTTTGGATGATACAACTGTGACGCTATCACTGTGTCAGCTCAGGAATGTAAGATATTGTGATTCCTTAAAATAAAATATGGATCATTTATATATTTTATCTGTGTTAGACAAAGTTCTGTAGTCAGTATTATCAGTATTATTACCTTGTACAAACTAAGAAAAAAGTAGTTTGAAAACAAGTTAGGCAGCAAATAAATTTAATAAGTAAATAATAAAACATTGTTTTTGTCAATTGTTGACTATGTTAAATGGATATTTTTCTAACTGGAAATTTATATAATTTTTATAGAGATTGAAAGATGTTGATGGAGAAGCATTTTATCCATTGCTTGAAGATGAGTAAGTATATAAAATAAATTTTCTGTTTGAGAGGAGAGGAATCACTTAGATTCCCAAGAAACTGATTGTTGATTCCCGTAGGTCAGCCATTAATAGTGATTAATAGTAGTTGTATTGTGTTTCTTAATATTACATAGAACAAAGTATTTGTAATATATTATATAAAGTTATTTTATAATAAATTAGGAAATTAAATCAATCAGGCTTCAGTTTATAAAAAGGAAATTGAATTTGTTTTTCACTATACACCCAAGGTGAATATTTCAATTATTTCATTCCGTAGTTTATTTTTATGATTTCTTCTGTTTAAGACATAATACTTTAAGAACTATTTCTTCTGTTGTTTTTTCAGCCAATCAAATATACCTCATTCAAATAGTAACAATGAATTATCTGCTGCTGCCAAACTTCCTCTTATTATTCGAGAACGGGATACTGAATATCAACTAAATAGGATTGTCCTATTTGACAGACTACTGAAGGTGTGTGGTTTAGAAAGGCATCAAATGCTGTCCTAATTTTGGCTTTATCCATTTAATTTGATTAGTTTTGCCATTAACTATGATATTGGCCTTAGTCCTATTTGATATCAGATTAATGCATTTGATCTATAGTATCTTTCAGTGTATTTATACATATGTATATGTATATGTATATATACACATATACATATATATATACATACATACATACTTGTTTTCTGAGGTTTTCGCGGGTGTTTGTATGTAGGTCTTTGGTTGTTCGGGTTTTCTCCAGTGTAAAATTGGAAGTGTCTTGGCGACGTTTCGACGAAGTCCCATTCGTCGTCTTCAGGCTGGTGTCTTCAGCTTCGTGCTCCTCGAAGCACAAAGCTGAAGACACCAGCCTGAAGATGACGAATGGGACTTCGTCGAAACGTCGCCAAGACACTTCCAATTTTACGTGGGAGAAAACCCAAACAACCGAAGACCTACATACATACATACATACATACATACATACATACATACATACATACATATTCATTCATTCATTCAATAACACAATCTTTGATCTCCGGGAGAGATATAAACCAGTTTATGTTAAATGTTAAAAATATGCTATTAAAAGTATGAAAATATTACTAATACCAAATTGATGTTATTTCTAGGCCTATCCATATAAAAAAAATCAAATTTGGAAAGAAGCCAGAGTTGACATTCCCCCTCTTATGAGAGGTTTAACTTGGGCAGCATTACTTGGAGTAGAGGTAAGATTAAGAGAGAGACACAAGAATTGTTTTGTCTTGTCTATGCAATATATTCCAACCCTACCTTTTAACTTCCACAAAACATTGGAAATTAGCCTCTGCAAATAAAATCACAACTGACTACAAAATATTAATGAAAAAACAGAATCTGCAGTTTTGGCCCGAAACTATAGCAATGATGCAATGGCACAATTCTTTTGCACCCAGTATATGGAAGTGCAGCATCAAAGTAGAATTTAAAGGTTGAGTCTGGGAAGTAGACAGATAATTTTGAATTCTTATCTAAACTACATTTGCAATTTGGCACTCCTAATTATCACCTCTTCTTTGAGATATACTATTTGAGCTCTGGCTGAATAAATTCTTAGAAGAATCCTAATACTTACAGTGAAGTTCTTGATGCTCCCTGAGCTTGGTGTTTGCTTGCAGGAATTTCATTAGCTGACTAGGTAACATCTTTAGTGGAAGAAATGTTTGCTCACTCTTGACCTATTGGTGGGAAATTGTTATCTCTTTGGTATTTCTTTGATTAGGTGGTTGTTTACTTCTTGATTGTTTGTCTCAATAGATAATTTTTTGATTACGCTATTGGTACTGTATTTTTCTGAGATTTATCTTGGTGTTAATCTGTCCTTAATTGCTAGACAGTAGTTGTTGGGTTTTTTTTTTAGCATTTTAAATAATTCTTTTGAATGCTGAAAGTGTTGTTCATCTCTATATACCTGTGAATGGCTGATTTGTCTTAATTGCCAAGCTCCTAGGAATTCCATAGCATTTTTAAATTTATCTTGATCTAGGCTACCCAAAGTTTCCCAGTTGAAACTATGCTAACTTGGTCCATGTATTTTGAAATTAAGGAGGTTTTCATCCTGTTTTCTGAATGCTAGTTGTGCTGGTGGATACACACTACTAGCCTTCTCCCTGTCTGTCCTATATAGTGGCTGTATAGTAGTCTTCACACTGCATGTTGTAGATGATTCCTGATTTTTCTTCTTGAACTACTGCAAGTTTTTTGTTGTTTAATTGAGATTTTCTAGGGAACTTTGGTAGGTTTGTGTGCTACGATGCCATGTAGTTTTAATAGTCTGTTGGTTGTTTCTGAGATTTTTCTTTGGCAGTGTTAAACTAAAATTTACAGTGTCTTCATTTTAGGGAGATATTCAAGCAAAATATGATGCTATTGATAAGGACACTCCTATTCCTACAGATAGACAGGTAGGTTTTTTGTTCTTTTAAGTGTCATAAGCTTTTGGAATCATAATGTAGGAGCTGACCAGGCTGAGCCCAACGAAGGGGCCAAACATCCAACAGTGTTGAGTTCCTTCGTGCCCACAAGAGATCTAACTCCAGCCCACCTTGAATTTCATTGACTCTTTATCTACTGCCAATGTGTTTGACCATTAGTAGTTCAGAGAATGTTATTTGAACCACCTTGCTTTCTGATTTCTTGTGCCTACACATTGAAGTCTTTCCAAATACTAGTTAATAGTACTTATTAATAAAATAACATTGCTACTATAGAAATTCCATTACAGTGGAACTATTATTACTCTGTTTAATATATTTGGAATTAAAATTTCTGTACAGTTAGGAATACATTGTGTGACCCATAAATTTGTACTTTAACCAGTCCTCCCTCCCTCTTTCTATCCTTCTTTTATTTTCAAATTAATATAACCATCCATAACTAACAAATAATTTATGCAGCAGCCAAAATGGAAAAAAAAAACAAGTAGCACAACAATTAACCATTATACAGTTTCAACCATCCACCTGAGACTCCATAACAACTCCAGATTTTCAAGGATTTATGAAAAGTCAGCAAGTCTAATCTCTAGGGGGAATATTGTTCCAGAGGTGGGTGCCACAATTTAAAAGAAACCCTTCCTGAGTCCTGCCATATGATACTCCCTGGAGAATGCTTGTCCTGTCAAATCTTGCAGGACTTGGATATAAATAACCTGGTCCCAAGCCATGAACAACTTTGTAGATAACTACCAGCACCTTGAACTGAACCTAGAGGCATACTGGTAATCCATGAAGCTTACATAGCAAAGTGTAAAATGAATCAAATGAGAAGCACCTATAACTGCCTGTTAATCAACAGAAAACTGACATATCTTATAGAATGGTCATGTTTTATGTAAGAGTCAATTCTATAATACCATATCAAATGTAGTCAAAATTATTGGAGTTGTATCCATTTATGCAGTAACTTTTTAAATATTTAGCTATGGAAGATCTGCTATAGCAGATTTTTGTTAAAGTTATGGAGAACTTATACTTCTTTATGCCTGCAATATATTATATATTTACAAAGTTTTATTCTCGAGCTTTTTAGTTGAAAAACTATAATAAGACTAATGGTGGTGATAGCTGTGAAATTATACCTATTTCCAGTTTATTCCCATATGCAAGATCATAAAGAGAAAAAACTCATTCTGCCTTTCTTTTCCCGTAGTAATGACTTTAATCTTCTTGAAATTGAATATTATGCATGAAGGACAAATAATCTCTCATATTTCTCCTATGATAGAACTCTGCCCTTTGATCTTCTCCCAAGTGCATATAATAGGATTTTACTACTTCAGATGCTCTGGTTTCAGTTCAATCTATAATTGGGGGCAAGGGAGAAGTCCTAGTAATTATATTTCAAGTTTATGGAGAGCTTGGGAATAGCATTTTTAGGTCCTTTGTAAGTCCATTACTATAAGGATTAGAAAATGCAAATTGATATTGATGGGAAAATAAGAGTTGAACACTTTTGCAAGGTAAACTATGAAACTATGGCATTCAGTTAGTATCTAAGGAACACTTAGTGAGTCTTTATGTTGTCTCTCTTTATATTTTCCTATTTTGTCTTTCTATTCAAAGGATTTATACTCATAAGAAAATGCATTTCCAAATGTTCCCTGTCCAGATATTTGGAACCTAGAATAAACCTTTTTTCTCCCAATTTGAACTGTAGAAATTTGGAGGGATTTGGCACCTAGTCTCCTTTTATGGCTTGTTCTGTGCTTCTTCTTGTTGCCTACATTGTAGATTGAAGTTGACATCCCTCGCTGTCATCAGTACGATGAACTGCTGTCATCACCAGAAGGCCATGCAAAATTTAGGCGGGTTTTGAAAGCCTGGGTAGTTTCTCATCCTGATCTTGTATACTGGCAAGGTTAGTTCAGTTGGCTCCTTTGGTTAGCAGTTACGTTTTGCAGAGTTAATAAACTAAAACATACAAATGATGCAGTAATTACTCTCAGTTCATTCTACATTCTACCGGCTCTTTTTAAAAAGGTATGTATATTTGCAATGTAAACAGTTGGTTCTTGCATTGCTTCCAGTGAATAAGTTTATTAATTGGTTTATAGATTTATAGACCACTTTGGTCAATTGACTCTAAGCAGTGTACAAGAGGAACAGCCAAAGTCACTACAACATTCAAAGTAAAACAGTAATGTATAATAAAACTATTATAGAATATAACCGCAGTTAAGAATACAATCAAGCTAAGGAATAATAAGATCATTCCTGGGGGTAGAAGCTCCACATCAATCAAATCCCAAAGGCCTTGAAGAAGAGCTGAGGTTTCACGAGCTTGGCAGAGTGGAAGCTATCCTTGCCCCAGGGAAAGTTGAGGAGCCCTTATGGAAGGGGAATCCCTTCCTCCTCCTTCCCCCAGAGAATGCTGAGTTTCACACCTCAGGTGGGGACCTTTGGCAGATATTCTTTGTTAGTGTAGAACTGTAGTGTTATTTTAATAGCTAAACAGAATATCCACATATCTGAATATAATTCTATGGCTAGGGCCCTATATCTCACATTGTGGCTTAGGGCTAAGAATGATCCAGATTATTGGGATGAAGCATATTTTTTCAGAGAAACTGCTCTAGTATTTATGACTGAAACCACTGAATCTTCTTAGAAGCGGTGCTTTTTTGTTAAAAAAAAAAAAGGTGCTGGAACTCACGCACATCATACATCCGCCTTGCCTACCCTACAAGGTTCCATCCAAAAAAGGTGCCGGAATTCCGTTCTGGGCGTTCTATGAGAAAAAAAGCCCTGCTTAGAAGTATGGTAGAACTGAGCTCTAAATTTCTGATTTTAGATTTATTTGAGATATGAAGCTTTTCAGAAGATGGTCATAAATGGCTACCCCTCCAAACCTATGAATTTATTTATCAATTTACTTGGTGACTGCATCACATATGATAGCTTTGAAAGTGGCCTACTGTATATCTGTAAATAACTTCTGCACAATATTTAACTATATAATAATGATAAAAACTGTATAATAATTTTTATCTTCTGGATATTCTCAACCTCTGTTGACTGTTCAATATTTTTATATAATTATATCTCCTTGTAGGTCTTGATTCCCTTTGTGCACCTTTCCTGTATCTAAATTTCAACAATGAAGGTAAACATTGTCTTTATGAATATTGAATTTATGCATGCAGTGCATTAAATCCTGATTAGCTCTATGTCTCTGTCTCATGCATATTATATAACAATTCGTGAGTTTGCCACAATACATAGGCTGGGATACTTTCAAGACTATCTGTCTCCAACTATCTTGCCCACCTAACTAGATCAAACAGGATTGGCATGTTCTGGGTTAGTTAGTTAACTAGTGTCATCTTATGGCAGTCGGGAAATATGCCATTTCTGTCACCATGCCTACCTTGTGAGACAATATCCCTTGAAATTCAGATTGCCCCAGTCCAGCTTATCTTTAGAAAGACCCTGGTTCTTCTCCCAGTATTGGACCAGGTATTATCCAACCCCCTTTTACCATGTGAGGTGTGATTTGCCTCTAGCATGTCATGTTTTTAATAGCTTTAATTTAGTCAAGTGTTTTTAACTCTGAGTTAACTACCCAGAATGGGTGAATCAGTAAATAGGTGACCATAATGAAGGAAGGAAGGAAGGAAGGAAGGAAGGAAGGAAGGAAGGAAGGAAGGAAGGAAGGAAAGAAGGAAGGGAAAGAAAGAAAGAAAGAAAGAAAGAAAGAAAGAAAGAAAGAAAGAAAGAAAGAAAGAAAGAAAGAAAGAAAGAAAGAAAGAAAGGAGGGAGGGAGGATAGTGAAATCAGATAAATTATAACTTCAACTAATAGTTGTTTTCTCATACTTGGTCTATGCATGGGGGTTTATGTAATTTTTCACCTTTTTGTGGAATATAAATGTTAATGAAGAATTCTGTTTGTTGCATTTCCAATATGATTTCAGGGACTTGGATCTAGACTAAATCAAATTAATTAAATTCCACTGATAAAAGTATAAATGTTCTGTTATATTGTATATATTTAAATCTGGATCCAACTGTAGTGTATCTATAAGTTTGCTTAATCTTTGAAAGTACAGATGGACCTCGACTTATGAACACAATTGAGTCCAAAATTTCCATTGCCAAGCAAGACAGTTGTTAAGTGAATTTTTGCCCCATTTTAGAATCTTTCTTGCCATAATTATTAAGTGAAATCACTGCATTTGTTAAATTACAAACCTTACAACGTTAAGAACCTGGAATTAAGGAGAAACGTCCTAACAGTGAGGACAATTAACCAGTGGAACAGCTTGCACAGAGCAGAAGCTGTGGGTATTTCATCACTGGAGGTTTTTAAGAAGAGACTAGAAAGTTACTTGTCTGAAATGGTATAAGGGTCTCGGCCTAGAAGACCTCCAAGATCCTTTCCAGCTCTATTCTGATTGATTGATTGATTGATTGATTGATTGATTGATTGATAGTAACACAGTTGTTAAGGAATTCCCCATTGACGTTGCATGTCAGAAGATCGCAAAAGATGATCACATGACCCCAGCACACCGCAACTGTCATAAGTTGCCAAGAATCTGAATTTTGATCACGTGACCATGGGGATGCTGCAACAGTTGTAAGTATGAAAGACGGTCATAGGTCACATTTTTCAGTGCTGTTGTAATTTCGAACAGTCACTAAATGAATGGTTATAAGTCAAGGACTATCTGTATTTTTAAGTTTTACAGAATTAAATGGGAACAGTTTAACATTGTTTTCAATTTGTTCTAACAATTGTAATGGTTGGATAAAAAGCTATCTCTCTTTCTGGTTCTTTTTTAGCTTTGGCCTATTCCTGCATGTCTGCTTTTATTCCAAAATATCTCTATAATTTCTTTCTAAAGGATAATTCTCATGTTATTCAAGGTAGGTTTTCTGCTATAAATCTGATTTAAAGCCTTTAAATGCCTATATACATGTTTTATCTTTTGTAGTTTTCAATTTATAATCAGCTTTGAGATCTAGTGGAAAATACCATACCACAAAAAATTTTTAAAAAAACCACCAAAAGTGCAGCTACTACTAACTTGAAACAGCTGCAGTTGCTGAATTGCAGCATGCAGTTTATTTTGAATTTCCCTAATAAAGCTATGCACTGATCTATTATTTTGATAGTATTATTATTCATAGATTATATATTGTTTCTTGTATTGTTGTGATTTTTTAAATTATTTTAATAGTAAATATTTTGTTAATTCTTTCCTGGAATTCTGTTGCAATGGTGATTTCGTAAAGCAAAATTCTTGAGGCTGAATTCTTGCTGAAATCATTTCCAAATAGTCTTACCTGTTTATCTTTCTTCCAGAATATCTTACAGTATTCTCCCAAATGATTGCATTCCATGATCCTGAACTGAGTAACCACCTCAATGAAATAGGTTTCATCCCAGATGTAAGTGGAAATGCTTTTTATATATTTTAATACAGGCAGAAACAGCAGAAAGTTTAATCATCTATATTCACATATCATGGTCCAAAAACAAATTCAATACCAGAATCAATCAAACTCTGATAGCAGCTATTGAGCAGTCAAAATCTGCAAGATGTGCCATTTAAAATGATTTTCAAAGAAATATTATAATTATCATTTTCTTCATTTCTTCTCACAGTCTTAATGGCATCTAAATTGCCAATGCAGGTAGTCCTCAAGTTATTACCAATCATTTTATGATGCTTGAAGTTACAACACCCGTGGTACAGGTGCTTTACATGGCCAAAAAAGCACTTTCAGCTCTTGTCTGCTCCCCATGGACTGCAGGATGTTCCATGGTCATTTATCATGATTCAAGGTGCTTTTTGACAGTTTCCACTAAAAAAAAGATCATTCAAATAAATAGATTCACTTAATAACCACAATGTTCACGTAACAATATTAAAAAAAAGTACTCTTGTTACATGGGTGCCTCAGTTTGCGGCTGGATTTCTGCACCAATTACAGTCATAAATCAAGGGCTACTTAAACTTATTTCTGCATTTACAGCATATAGTTTCCTGCTTTTCTGCATATATTCCTGTTGTAATTCAATGGCTTGGGAGGAGAGATCATTGTCCTGCCTATGCCTACCCATATATTAAATAAGTAATACTCATCTTTCATTGAGAAGTTTAAGTCACATCAGTAAGTTTTTAATGTCCTATCATTAGAATTGAATGTGGACTTAAATTTCTGAATAGAAGTTTACTTCCGGCATTGATTTCATATATAGAGAGATTTAATATGCAGTCTTGTACAGTTTAATTTGTGCAATTTCACATTTTAACTTGTATAATGTAGACATATTTGACAGAATTCTTAGAAATGTTTTCTGTATTGCTCTATCATTCACTAGAAAATAAAATCTGTACTTTATTTCAGTACTTGGCACTTTCCAGAATCCATGAAAATGAAGTATATACACTTAGCAATACTATTTTCATGCTTGAAAACTAATTCTGTCAGATCAAACTGATTAATCTTGTGGGTTTTTCCTGCATGAAGAGGATGTTCCCTGTATGCTCCTTAATCTTGTCTATAAATAACAGAATAACAAAGTTGGAAGGGACCTTGGAGGTCTTGTAGTCCAACCCCCCTGATCAGGCAGGAAACCCTATGCCAGACATGTCAAACTCGCAATGTCACATGACATCGCATGACATATCGCGACTTTTTCCCCATTGCCGGCAATGGGGTTGGTGCAGTTTCGGAGTGACGCATCTGGCCTGTGAGCTGGCAGTTTGACATGCCTGCCCTATACCATTTGAGATAAACGATTATCCAATCTTTTCTTAAAGAAATGAACTGGAAATTATAAGAAAGAAGTCCTAATCTAAGGATCAGGCAGACACTTACTTTTTGACCTTTATGAGATCTCATTGCACCTGAAAATAAAAAATCAAATATAACCATTAAAAATACAGAAGAAAAACAGTGATATAAAATGAAACTTGACTGAAATTTATTCTGCGTTCCCAAATTGTTCTCTGTTGAGCAATTTGAAAAATTCCTTAGAAAGGGGGGATTTTCACAGCATTGTTGTGGATGAAACATCCTAATGCAGAAGCATAAAACTATTCTATTAACTATGGATTACACTTTATTACTGCCCATTGTGTTGTGGAGAACAATAGAGGAATCTTCTCTAAACAAATACTGTGACAAGATAGTCAGTGTTTCTCAACCTTGACAATTTTAAGGCAATGCTGGCTGTGGAATTCTGGGAGTTGAAGTCCACATGCCTTAAAATTGTCAAGGTTGAGAAACACTGAGATAGGTAGCTTGCTCTTAACTTGCTTATACCTGGTGAGACGGGTAGGGGGCAGTGTGTACTAAGAAAAGTACAGGAAGTCCTCACCTCACCAAATAAGCTTAAGCATATTTAAAAGTCCCTGAATTCAAGCAAATAGGTTTTAAAATCATAATTACAATATTTGTGGAAAAGTATAATAATAATACTTTATTATCAATTCAACACCATCAATAAGTTTAAACAGTTGCAGAATGAGTGATCGTTATGTGAGGGCCATCTTATAAGCAGCACTAAAATATAATCAGACTCTACTTCGGAAATTTTGAATTCTAGTTTGGGTAGGATATCATAATAGAGATTTGAAACCACAATCCTGATTTAAACTACTCATATATGTTATAAGTTAGGCTTGCAGAATTCCAACACTAATGTGATTGAAAATTTACAATGATCTACTCTAACAACATATTCTTTTTTCTCCCATGTTGTTGTTATAGCTATATGCTATTCCTTGGTTTCTTACAATGTTCACACGTAAGTATCTTTTCTCATTTTTCATTTACAGATATACTGTATGTTTATTTATCACATGCACATTTTAATATTTTTATTTGGCAGTTTCTAATTTAGAGCATTAATCATTATTAAACACTAAACACTCATTGAAGATGCTTATATCCATCCCGTGAATAAATACAATTGTGCATTTAAAGCAATATTAGTGTAAGTTTGCATTTAAAGCAATATTAGTGAAAACCAGAATTATTTTGGTCATATACATTTCAGGATGATATATTTTCATCATGAATATTTCCTCCTTGCTGCTCCACCTGTCACTTATGTTTTTCACAAAATTCTTACTTTTATTCATTCAGTTAAATTTTCAGTTTGTTCTTCAGAAATATATTAGTATATTTCATTATTATGGTCACTGAATTTTACAATTTTATTTATGTAAACTCATATTTGTATAAATAGATAACAATTTGTATAACATCATATTTTAAAAATGAGCTCTATTTTAATTTTACAAAAAAAATATCCTCCATATATTGAAAGATTGTGACAATGTGTTGTGCTCATTGTACATAATGAGTTGTGCATAATTCATAAGAAATTATCCTACAAATATCCAGTGTGTGGAATAAGGCTCATATTTAACATAAGATGCAGTATGTCTACAAATTAACAGTAAGCAATATTTCTAAAGAAAAAGTGGATTTTACCACAGGTACAGTACTGTGAATTCTGATATAATTTCAAATTTAAAATAGTAATTGTTATCCAGAGGCTTGATCACGGTTAGCCTAATGTGGTGTAGTTAAATTCAGAAAATACCAGCTGTAGAGGAAAAGTTCTACATTAATCTCTGAATCTTGGCTTCCAGTAGGAAATGAGGTTCAAATTATAGAATATCATCTTTTAAATAAATACAAAATTATTTGGCCCTATTTCCTTGTTATGTTAATGTCAACCAATAACATGGGGAGAGATTATAATACCACAGTTTTCTGCCTGCATGTGGCATCAAATCATAATGAATGCTGCAGTATACATTTCAATAGTAATATTAAGGTGATTATCTAGTTGCCTTCAAGAGTTATAAATCAACATGTGACAAAAAAAATCTCTCCAGCAGTTCAGGCTACATACTGTTCTTAATTTATAAAGGAGTTGGAGTGATATTGTGGTGTTATATATACAGTATATGCACATACGTGTGTATGTGCATGTGTGTAATCTAATCCAATATTTTGAAATTACATTTTACCAATGGACATAACAGCATTTGAAGATAAACTGCGATATATGCAACTTCCCTAAAACCTGTTATCAAGAAAGGTTGTGCTAAAACATACAGAATTAACAGACAGTAATGGCCATGCCATTGTATTCCAAGGATACCAGGTTTAAGTCTCTCCTTGATTTTAGCATCTACATGCTGCTACAAGACTTTGGACCATGATTCTTACTTTCCCCTTTATTTTGTCCAAAGAAGAATTTTAGAAGCTGGTATTCCTGCCTCTTTTCTTCATTAATGCTGTGGTTTTATCTGAAATAGGCAAAGGGTTAATACTAAGAGTATCAAGATTGGCTAGTTTTAAAACTGATATTAATTACTGTTAAATCACAAGTCCTTGGTTTAGATAAAATGGGAAGATATGGTTTACAATTCATTCCAGCTATATCAGAGGACTAAGAAGGAAGTCTTTTACACTAAATTCTGATTTATGTAATGAGTGAACTAATGAAACACTTCCTCCAAGTGATTTCTGTCTCCTATTGATTATTATGATTACATTGCCCAGATAAGGAAATGGTTGATCCTTGCATCAGTTTAAATTAAAAAGAATAATAAACATACAGTAACATTACCTGAATGCAGCACTGAATTTAAACAAGGTATTGGAAGAAGGCAGCAGGATCATCTAACAATCTTCAGTATTCCAAAATTAGTGATTCAGGTATTCTCTGATACTGATACTCATGCCTGAAATCAATTGTGACATGGATTGTGCAGTGTTTCTTAATCCAGATTGCATAAGGATGTTCTGAAGCTTGAATACATTGAACAAAGCAGCTCTTTAAAGCAGCTAGGACAGGGGTGTCAAACTGCCGGCCCGTGGGCCGGACACGTCATCCGGAAGCCACGCCCACCCCATTGCCGGCAATGGCAAAACCATCCCGATATGTTGCATGACGTCATATGACGTCGCGAGTTTGACATATCTGAGCTAGGACTTCTCCTAAGATAACGTGATAGCCTTAGAAGGCATTGATGATTCCATGAGAAGCTCTAAATCAGTGTTTCTCAACCTTGCCAATTTTAAGGCATGTGGACTTCAACTCTCAAAATTTCTGGCTGTGGAATTCTGGGAGTTGAAGTCCACATGCGTTAAAATTGTCAAGGTTGAGAAACACTGCTCTAAATGGTCCTGGATGGATACTATTTTCACATTCTTGTGACCATTCCAAAAGGAGCTTTTCCAAATTATTGCTAAAGAGTTGCCCAACCCTACTCGTTGGTATTGCACTATTTCACATTAAGAATTACTAGGAGAAGATTGGACGAATGTGCTTTTGCCTACATCACAAATATTTAGATGTACTTTTGGGGGGGGGCATTGAGGGAACTGTAGTGAAACTCAGACTTGGTGAATAGATGAAATGTATGTTGCAGGATCTAATCTGGGTCGGTCACCAGGATCAGAGGTTTAGTCTTCGGAGCTTTTGGTCTCGTGCTAGAGCCCATTCTTGGGAACTTCTCTGTGACACATTCCAGTGGAGAAAAGGTCCCTGAGGATGTCTCCAGCATGAATCCAAAAGCTCAGAAGACAAAATCTCTGGTCCCGGTGACACTTGGATCCTGCAACATTTTCCTGGGACATGTACATTTGCTTTCATTCGTAAAGTATGTTGTTTTCTGTTTTATCTTTTGCTTGTTTTTTTATTTTTACCCAAATTTTATTTCTTCTGCCCTATTTTTATTGCTACCTGGTAAAATATATTAATTGGTTTCAAGACACTGTTCCCTTAGTATATTTTGTAGTCCAAATAAAATCAGGCCCTGGGTTTCATGAATATCCCTGTTAAAACACTTATACTTTGGCCCTTCTTTTTCATAATACCCTACATTGCTATCTAAAATAAGAGACACAATAGAAACTGCTTTAGAGGCTCTCCTCATTTATACTTATTGTGGAATTGTCCATCTCCTCTTGCCAACTGCATTCTAGGAAAAAAAAAAATCTCTCTAAGTCTTTTGTACTCTCTTGTGCCTGTTGCCTGATTACCTATTTGGCATTTCAAAAACAAACAAACCTGAAAACTATTCTCCCCAGTTGATATTTCTTTGTTGGCTGCCTTGCAGATGTCTTTCCTTTGCACAAAATCTTTCATCTGTGGGATACATTACTACTGGGAAACTCTTCCTTCCCATTCTGTATTGGAGTAGCCATTCTACAGCAACTGAGGGATCGTCTTCTCTCCAATGGATTCAATGAGTGCATTTTGCTGTTTTCTGATTTACCAGGTATTATTTTTATCAGTCGTATATCTTTGTTGGATATCCTTTGTTCTGATTGATATATATTCCTAATTTATTAGAATTTGAATAGGAAAGAATTAGTGTGAATTGGTAATTATGTTGTACTGAATACATTTTTATTTGCCTGTAGGCAGCCTTTGTTAAACTGAAAGAGATAAATTTACTAGATAAGTTATGTAAGTATACTTCAGTTCTTTTTTTATGCAGTTTTGTGGGAGGGGGGTATGTATGTTAATAATATGGGGCACCTGAGTTAATTGTGAGCATGCTAAAATATAAGACCATGTATCATCTTCTAATTCAGGCTTTTCAACCAGTGGTACGGGTACCACCTGTGGTACATTGGCACCTGGCAGGTGGTACACGACCATCCTAGAAAAGTGGTAGTGGGGGAGGGGAATGAGCTGAACCGGTGGCAGCACCGCACAAGCCTGAGCAAGAGATGGCTGGAGCTGCAGGGCTGTCAGGGCTCAGCGGAAGCGCCAGGATCAGTGCCACTTTCTAGCTGATTGGCACTTCTTCGGGACTGTCGGCACTGATCCTGACGCTTCTGCTGAGCCCAGAAGAAGCGCCAATCAGCTAGAATGTTGCAGCATCTCCAGGGTCTTGTGAGTTACATTCAGATGCTTGGCAACTGATTCATATTTATGATGGTCACAGTGTCCCACGGTCATGTGAAGTGACCAAACCTGCTGCAACCACCCAGTAGACGGGGGCAATAAAAACCAAACACCCCCCCCCCCGCTGTCAATCCTCAACAGAAATGCTCACAACAATGAAAACCTCGGACAGGTGGAAGAGCGCCGCCAGGCGCTGTCTTGCTTGGCTGTGGCTTGGGTTGCACTTTTTTCAGTGCCATTGTAACTTCGAATAGTCACTAAGCGAACTGTTGTAAGTTGAGGACTACCTGTACTTCATCACTTTTTTTCCTTTTGGGGGGGGTCATCAAGTTTTTGATACCTTGCTAGGCGACTGGTGGTACTCAGATGTTGCCACATCCTAAAAGTGGTACAATGGGTGAAAAGGTTGAAAAGCCCTGTTCTAATTCACTTTAGAGTCATTTGGGTTTTACAGTTCTGCCTGCCTTAGTCTTTATAGAATGGGCAGAATGGGGCCAGCCTTTTTGCAGATTGTGACTTAGTCAGAGTTTGGGTTGATTAGCACAGTTGATATTTTAAGCTCTGCCATTAAATGCAGCGATAAAAGGACAATCAGAGCTTTCTCTTGAACTTGGAATTGAAAAATATAAATCTTCCCAGAAAATTGGTTTTCTGCTTTGGAGAAGATTGCAGAACCTCAGAATACAGCTTCCACCACCCAGCCTCAAGTGTGGGAAGCAGCTGATCTGTATCAGGCTGGGCCCAGGCCTTCCCAAGCAGCTTAAGAGAGCAGCATAATGTAGGGATTATCTGCTTTCCCTTCCATAGCTATGAGTTCCATTTCACCCTGTACTTCCAAGAGAGACACTTACCATCTTAGAAGCACACCACATCTGCAATACATTTTGACCTCTGAATACTGCAAGGTCAAGATCCTATTTCTTGAGGAAAGACTTTAGCAATCATACGTTTGTTATCGGCAATTATAAATTCTACAACTTTTAGTGCTTGTGTACTGCTAAAACTTTAGCAGTGTGTATTTTTTAACCAATTATATACTACCTTGAATGCTAGTCATATCAATAAAATCTGACTCTATGTAGCAGGGAAAGGCAACCTTTGATAAATGGAAGCCATGCTACATTGAGTGTAATGCTGATGCAAAATAGTATTGTATACTTAAACAGAATGATTATTTTCTCTTTTTTTCCCTCATTAAGTAAGTGTTCTTTCTTTATAAAGATACATGAAGCCTATTTTCAGGCTGACACAATGCTTTTCATGTTTATTCTTATCTTCAAATGGCAGGGAAACAGAATGCTAATTTTTTCCCAATACAGCTCACCAACAGATGCATGAAAGGAGTTTGGGGATACCTATAATCCTGGGGCTATAATTGATATGAAAATTGGTAGCCCTGCAAAGTAGTCCAGACAAGAAGCACAACCAGGAGTACTAACTCTAGCTTTATTGTAAGATTAAAAATCTTGTAAGATTGAAAGTATTTCTCTCCTCCTTTCTTTTTACTCTCAGGAAATATAGGAAGGGTCTTTTCTGAAACGTTTCCCATGCCATCTTCCCTTCTGTGGCTGAAACATCTTTTACCTGTTGATTGTCCAGTCTGTAGTTCTCCCTCCTATCTCCCATGGTCCTTCCCAGATATATATAAGAATGAAGGCCACTCAGGCCAATGGAAATCTAACTCAGCATCAAACTGAATTGTTTGTGTAATGATTTAGGATAATTTTGTTAACCATGACTCATACTAGATTGCAAATTTCTTATGGAATTTCTGAACATAGACTATAATCTCAAAATTTGAAAGCTCTGGGATTTTTTTTCTAAGAAACATGCAAAGCAAGTTGAAATTACTACATGAGAAAATTACTGGGTAAGAAGTATGCCTTAGATAACACAAGAAAAAAAAATCAGGCATTAAGGGGCCTCTTTTAGCAATAATACTATTTTTGGTAAAGAACCAGAATACCAGTGAGTCCTGGTTTACTTTTTAACATCTCAGTGAAATAATCTTGGCATCTCAACTAAAGCTCTTAAAACCATCTAAGAACTAAGGATCTTTGTTAAATGGTTGGGACTGGCTCCTAGCTAAAATTTTAGAGTTGAAGTAGAGTTCTGAACTACTTCATTATGTGAATTTATGTGTAACCAAATAGACGTTGCAGTCATTGGTATGCTGTAGTCATTTCTCTTTGTCATTCAAAACCTAAGAGATTACATAGAGTTTCTCTTCAAAGGTGATGTGGCATATACTTCAGATCACAATTTAGAGTAACTGCTCCCAAACTGGTGCTCACCAGGTATGTAGAAATATAATTCTCAGAATTCCTACTTAATGTAGACATTGGCTAGGCCAAATGTGAGAGGACAATTTGAACCAGCACTGACCATATGAATTCTGTGGTCTGCAAAAGGCCCCAGGAAGGCCTTTGTGCAGGTCCTAAAATTCAGCAGCTAGGGTAAATTCAGTTGCACACTTTCTGTAGTCAAAATTGTTTCATTGCCATTCAGTCTGATTCTCCTTTGATCTGAGGAAAAGGCAAGCTTCATGGAAGAGATGTATTCTCATGAATAGTGTGGGCCCTTGAAAGCCTGCATCAGCATTTGATGTAATCCTGGGATTGCAAAAGGGTATCCATCTTGTATGGTTGCATTGACATGTACATGCATGTACTCACCTGTACACACATAAATATGAAATGAAGCTTTAGGTTTCATGCTGTTACTTCCACAGAAAGTCCAGAACTTAATAAAATATAGCTTATATTTTTCAAATCGGTGTTACATAAGAACTTTTTCTGAATCTACTATTTCCCCTGGAATTTTTTATCCAAAACAGCAAATATGTACTTACAGCATGCATAATTTAAATGTGAAGTATGTAACCATACTTCCCAAATAGCGTGTTACCTGATCTTCCCAATAATGACACTGCCAGTTTAAAATTCTCTTTTCATACTTTTGTTTGTGTTGTAGATATTTGTCAGAAAAGAGAGACATTTTAACAAATCTCAATTCTAATACTACAGTCCTGCCATGAATCATTCAATTCAGAGAGAGGGAATAAGAAACTTCCTTTGAATATTAAGTATTTCTTTCTAATCTTTTTGATTAACACTATTTGTTTCTTGAATCTAAATGATCTACCGTAGATTAGGACTATGGAGCACTTAGAATTTAAAGACTCAGAAGAGTAATTTATGTTTAGAAGTCCTTAAAACACTGATTGATTAAATATTTATACTTCATGCCCATTTTATAACCAACTCTGGGTGGCTCATATTTTCCCAGAAACTTGCAGCTCTCTTCCATGGCTGTAGCATGCTTCCATGAAAAGATACGGCTGCTTTATGGAATGACAGAGAGATGATACAAGTTGGCCTCCATGTGTTCCAAAACATCTTTTGATTGCAACAACTGGATCATGAAGCATCAAGAAATATACAGATACTAAAAATAGCTCAAATACGTAAACAATTTTATTAGCAAGTGGGAATGGAGCTAATGTTTTTTCTCAGCACATATCAAGTAGCAAGCTTATTGCTTCATGGAGGAAATAGTCACAGAACATTAGGATTTTTTTTATTATTTCTGTTCCACAGATAGACACAAGAACGGAATGTTTGTAGAAGAGTTTTCTTTATCCTTATGAATTTTTGAATTAAGTATGTCTGATGGCTTTGACCAGGAACAAGAAGCAGATGTATTTATACAACAGGTCTCAAAACTTCATCAAAGGTGTATAATGGTATTATGAAACAAAAGCTATTCATAGTTGCCAATATTGAATAGCTTGCAGCCAAGTATGAAGTAGAGAATCTGGCTGTGGTAGAAAAAGAAAGTGATTTGTTTCCACATACCTGTTTATCAAAGACATTCTGTAATGCCATGAACTGCAAAATAGATGCCATTTAACCTAAGGCTGATAATTCTTGTAATTATTCATGTTTTCCACCTGATCTGCATGATGTTTATAAATCCATGCTGATTACTTTTTCAAGAATTATCTTAACATTTTGCTAAACACATACAGTATCAAGCCATAATTATTCGTGCATTTGCACTTACTGATTGGTCAATGGTAAATAGATAACTATTAGATCAGGGGTGTCAAATGCTGGCCTGCGAGCCAGTCACATCACGAGGAAACCGCGCCTACCCCATTGACAGCAATGGGGAAAAAGTTCCGATACATCTTACGATGTCACAGGATGTCGCGAGTTTGACATGTCTGTATTAGATAGTCTTTTTTCCCCAAGATTCAGGCTAGGGGAGTAGGCATACTTTACTGCTGATATGATTTTACGATGGGAGTGTATGATTTATTTTGGGCATCTTGGATTATTGTTTGTAAGTTTTGGGTTTTAAATCTTTGTGTGCCACCCTAGATGAACAGCCTTATAAATTATTTAAATGAATGTTATTAAATGCCCTTTCTCTAATAAAAGTTCATTTTGTCCTCTGGACAGATTTTTTAATGTTTAATTTGCTTCTCACAAATTTGCTCCAGGTGGGGAGGGATCTTCTAGAACAGTGGTTCTCAACCTGTGGGTCGGGGCCCCATTTGGGGTCGAACGACCATTTCACGGGGGTCGCCAAACAACGCAGTCCGCCATTTTCCCCCCCTTTTCCTTAGCTGTGCTACTCCCTTTTATTCTATTGGCTTTTGAAAGCCAATAGAATAGACTCTCTTGAATAGAGTCTAATTCTATTGGCTTTGAAAAGCCAGTAGGAATTGTCCAGGCTGTCTCTGCCCTGCTGAGCCTGCCAAAAGTCCCATTCTGCAAACGGTGCTGCACCAGTTGAGTAGTCCTCAACTTACGACCGGTTGAGTAGTCCTCGACTTACGACCAGTTGGGGGTCGCGGCATTAAAAAGGTTGAGAACCACTGTTCTAGAACGAATGGATTAAAGATTTAATTTAAGAATTAAGGATCGAATCCATGTCACTTAAAGAGCCTTCTATCAATGGAGAAAACTCCTGTATGAAACAGTTGGGGTACAGTTTTAACATCTAGTAATTGAAAATTTGATATAGTGGTCAGACTTTGTTACTAAATATTTGTTATGATAGAACTGGTAAGGATTTGTACTTGGGTATGCAAATATTTCATTTGTTTTAAAATACAGATGCCACTGAATTGAGAATTAGCCCAGGATCGTACATTCAAAGGGTTGCAATCCTGACCAATCCCAGTAATAATACACATTCCAATGATTTCCTTGATTCTGACTTTTCTTCTTATTCATTGTCTTCCTTTTTTGAACTTATTTCAGTCTTACTTAAGCAGTCTCTTTTCTTGTTCATCATCTTCTTACATCACCTTCTCAAATTGGTGAGTTTCTTTTTGCCAGTCATCACCTCAAGGGAGTAGTTGATTTTATTTGGTCCATGATTATTGGGTTTCTTGCAGTTCAGAGTAGTCTTAGTAACTATCATCAAGTTCATAATTAGAAAGCATCTACCAACTTTTTCAAGCATATTGTCCAGCTTACACAGCCATACATTACTGCTAGAATGTCTGTTCTTCTACTCTGATTGTGACTATTGTACAACAACCTTTCGATCTTGCAACAACCTTTATCTTTCTAAATTTGTCTTGTCATTTCCTTCCTCCCTAGAATTAATCATCCTTTTAGTACTCCAGAATATTATCTGTGTAGTTGCTAAGACTTGACCCTGACTTGATGGCATATAATCAGAATGTCTTCCATCTTTACTGTTCTTCAGCCTAAGAAAACAAAACTATGATTTTGCTCTTTCAAAGTTAATTGTGACTCCATTGAGCATACTGAGTTGTATTACCTCTATCTTCCTAATATTTAGCAAGTTTTTCACAAGGAATTCTTCCAAGTTGTCTTTTCTTTGTGTGTTGTTTTGACCTTCAGTTTTGATTGCAGCTGCCATCTCTTTCAGTACTGCCATTCTTATAAAATCTTTACAAGCCAAGCAGATATGGGAGGTAACAACACATTGTTTCTCATTCCCTTTCTTAGTTTGAACCAATCTGTTTCTTCAGATCCAATTCTTACATTAGCTTTCTGTCTATTATAATGATTCCTAAGAAGAATAATCAAATACATATATGCCTTAATATATTGCACATTGTGGTATGATCTTGCCATCCAAACATCTTGTAATCAATAATGCATAGATAAAAATCCTTCTTATGCTCTCTTGCTCTCAATTATTCATCTGACTGTATATGCCGGCGTATAAGACGACTTCTGCAAGCGCTAAAATCGGCGCCAAAGACGGGGGTCGTCTTATACGCCGAGTCGTCTTATACGCCAGAAATACTGGTAGTTTCCGGCATATAAGATGACGTTCTAGGAATGTGGCTCGGCGACAAAGACAGGGGTCGTCTTATACGCCGGGTCGCCTTGTACGCCGGCATATACGGTATATTAGTTAAATAATATAATTTGATTATTATTATTATACACTTTATTTTCTCTGAAACTGGGTTATTCATCTGTCATTTCTGTGATTATGTATCTATTCTTTCTAAGATCTGAAGCAAAATTTAATTATTACAATAGTTCGATAGTTTGCATATCATCTTGCAAATATTTCTCTTTTTTTTGAACAGGAATAAGGACCTTTCCCAATCTCTAAGTCACAGTTTTGTTTTATAGGTGAAACTGGGTTTAAACTACTTCTTTAAGCAGTTTGATAGGTTCTTCATCTGTGCCTGATTAAGAATTTTTTGGCAGCAATTCTATTGCTTTTTATACCTCAATTTCTAGTGAATTTCTTAAATGCTTTCTCTTTGCAAACTGGAAGACTATGAGATCTAGTCCTGTCTTATGCAGAAAACTAGCTGGGTGGCCTTGGGCCAGTCATGCCTACTCAGAAGGAGACAATAAAAAACTACCTCCAAGAAAATTTGTGAAGAAAACTGCATACACACAGAGAGAGAGGGAGGAAGGGGGGGAGGGAGGGGGAGGGAGAGAGAGAGGGAGAGAGAGATTATCATTTCCCCTTCAACCCCTCACACTGAGTCATGCCCTGAACTGTATTTCAGATAGATCATCTTAGTAGTGGCCAACTCTGAATTACCTAAACTCTCTTATTTTATAAACCCAGTCCAATAGGCTGGATTAGAGGTGTTATTTCGTCTGCTCCCAACAAAAGATGCTGCTCATCTTTGTTTTGCTCTCTGTGTTCCTCTGGTAAGTACCCTGCCAGACTCTGGTCCCTCATTATCTTAGCCCCTCCTGCTCAGCCTCATTGCCTTCCAGTTCTGCTCCAGTGGCTGTTCGCCCGTTGGCTCCTCAAACTGTCTGGTGTGCAGCTTCTGAGGGCATGAGAGGAGATCATAATCATTTTCAAAGGGAAGAGTGTGTTACAAACTTGTTTTTCTTTGCAACACATCTAAAGAAACAAGTATATCCAAAGAAACAGGTATTTACAGTAATTGCAAAATTGGAAAAGCATTTTGGACTTACAATAGAGCATATGATAAGATCTCTTCAGATAGATCACAGCTTAAAATCAGATACATTATGAATTATATATCCCAAAACAATGGGATGTATATGCAAGGCTACATAGGGGAAGAATTTCTGCAGGTATATATGTTCCTTTTTTATTATTATTATGGAGCACTGGACTATTTCTGTTCTGTATAGAGTGACCTAACCTAGGAAATAGACTGTTTGAGGCTGAGAGGTCAGTCCAGTTCTTAAAGCCAATTTTGAGATGGAAAAAACATTGATCGTTCCTAAATTTCCCTTTGCATGGCAATTCATTTCAAAGGAGAAGGCTTTAAAGTGGATTAAAAGAATTGCAAGCTTATGTGAGACTTCATGGTTCATTTTTTTCTACTGTTATTCATATAACATTTTGTTATTTTTATTTTTTCCTATGATTAGTGTTTGCAGAAAGATTGTTTTTCCTCAAAAAAGTATCTTTCGCTATCTATCTGTGTTTGTCTTGTGTTATCAACTAACTTTGAAAAGTCTCTACACATTAATATATTACTATGGATTGCTAGGTGCAATTCAGGTTTCTCCTATCTCTGATAACTTTGTACTAGTGTATGAGAAGTGTATCAAATGAGAAATATTAAGTACAAGTTCTACATTTTGAAAACTCAATAGGATTTTTTTTGTTAGTGCAGATCATTAAATCTTCAGCAAGCAAATTGATTAGCCAGACTTCCTTAATTTTTATGAATAACCTGTAGATGGTTTCAAGCTAGATTGCTATGAATTATGAATTTGAGAAAGAAGAATTTGAATTTTATTGAAAGTTTATTATTAATGTTTATTAAGCATCTTTTCCTGAAACTTTTATCCTTCCTATATGTCTTTATCCTGATTTCAGATAATCCTGAAGCAGATTATTAGAATACAGTGGGTTTTTTGTAGAAACGACAGGACATTACTCTAAAATAGAAGAAATAAATTGCCATAAGTAAAAGAAAAAAGTAAACATTAACAGACATAAAGACAGTTTTACAGTATATATAAATATTTTTGAAACTTTAGTAAGAGATTATTCTAACCATTCATACTCAACAATTAACCCATTTTACGGGTTGGCCTACTAAGATTATAAAAACATTGTTTATTACTAATTGTATCATATTATTTCCAATTTTCCAATTTTTATTTTCCAATTTTATTACCACAGTTTTGTCAAATGGTGAAAGCCAGCCAACTTGACTGCAAATTTTATTTCTTTATTCAGTTTATATGCTTCCTGGAGGTGACTCTAGGTGACTTAAAAATTCAGAGACTTTGCTTTGCAGTGTGTTTTAATTTCTTTGTCAGTTTCTTAGTTCCCCTAAACCTTTTTTTCCACATTTTACCATAATTACATTGCAGAATGCCCACAAACTGTAATTACTGTACTTGTCGTAGTTTAAAGCCTATACTTCATCTGAATTTGTGTCTTAAACCTTGTTCTTTTCTCTTGGTTACATGCCAGTAGAGGACAAATGTTTCTTGTTTCTTTTATCATATTTACATAGGTATATTAAAAAACAAAATGAATTTATTTTAGAATAACGTGTTCTTTTAAAAAATGCTTGTCAACTGCAGTTTTTGTTCTTATTACTCATTTTTTTCATTTTTTCATTGGTGTCTCCTTTTCAGAAATAGATATTGAACGGTGTGTCCATGAATCAATTAACCTTTTCTGCTGGACTCCCAAGAGTGCTACATATAGACAATATGCACAACATCCCAAACAAACCAGTGAAGGCAACTCTACAAGAAGTCTAATATCTTGTTTCTCATCAGACTATCAGGATGCATCCAGGAGTGACCTGGTGAGTTATTTAGTTGTCTTTCATTAGAAAAGAATAGAAGGTTTAAATACTTTAGGACTTTTTAGAATTGGATTTATTTATTCATTCATTGCGTTTAAATCCTCCCTTTCTGCTAAATCACAAGCCTGAAAAATTGTGATGGCTTATGTTGTCCATGAAATTTTCATTGCTAAAGATGGACTTGAACCTTAGTTACATTGTGTTCTAGTCTAACAGCTTAACAACTAATTCTTATACACTTTTGATATCATCCTACAGAAGAAAAATGAGTGGGTGTGGCTAACATTAGACAAAATAAGTTAAGAGTATCAACCAATAAGTGTACAAAGTGTTGGCAGGTTGCTATATGGAGCTATCTATTTATGTCATCTTTTCAAGAATGTTGGAATTACACTTGTACTTTGTCTCATGCATCAAAAAACCTTGGAGAACTCTGAATGGGTAAGCAGTATAATAAAATTCTAACACAATGAAATGAAATTTTCCTTCAGTCATAGATCAGCATAAGAAGGAAAAAAATGCAATTAATTTTAAAAACTAAAAATATAAAATACACAAAGTTAAAAAAAACATTTTGAAAAATTAAAAAAAAACTATATAAAACAAAAATACAAAGTGATTTGATTTGGTTTGATGCACTTAACTGTAGTGAGTGGGTGTAATAAAATGAACTAAATAGTGGTGTGAGGAACCTTTGAAATGTGAAAGGATTCATGTCCAACACACCTGCTTTGAGTTTGAAACAGCTGGTCCATATCAAGATTGGAACATTCTGGAATGTCGGAATAGCATCAAAACATTTGCACTGGAACTGTTTGCTTCAAACTCAAAATATTTCAAATTTGAAATGATTTGTATGCTTCTAAAACTTAATGTGCTAGCAGTGTCATAATGATTCATATTATGTATAACTACACTGTGACAAATATGTGTAACACTTACGATACATTATTGATTTAAACACTGAGTATTCCATTCTTAATTGATTTATATACAAATGAAGGAAGAAATGTTAGCTCTCTGGATTTTTTGTTAGACAACATTTGCTTGTAAAATTATGAATAGATATACTATCAGAAAAAAACTGACAAGAAAGATTTCAAAAGCAAACATTCTGAATAAGTTTACAAGCCCATTTTTGTACTGACTGTTGAGGAAATAAGAGTTTGGATCAAGCTGACTTCTACCTTTGGAGGATCTTTGGTCTTTACAGGGCGGAGAAACCAAAACAGTCCCTTCTTCCTTTCTGAAGATCAAGATGGTACAAGGTTTGGCAGCAATTCAGTTCACATCCCAGAGTTTCTTAGAAAATTATGGTCAAAGCTATTGTCCATGCTATTCCTTGGATCACACAGAGATTCTTTACTATGTATAGGAAGGAGTTTGATTCTTCACCCATCTCCAAATCCCATTATATCAGGCTTGCTTGATTAAGGGAAAAGGCCTAGCCCTTTTTATTTTCCTTCTGCATTTCAAATGGAAAATAGAGTTTATATAGATTCTGTATACAGACTATTTGGCAGGAGCCTGTACTTCTGATAAATAAATTCAACATCTTTATTTATGAGACTTATATACCGCTTTAATTGCAAGCACTCTCTAAGCGGTGTACACCAGTAAGCAATGTATATATATATTTACATTGCCCACAACAATCTGGGTCCTCATTTTACCTACCCCGGAAGGATGGAAGGCTGAGTCAACCTTGAGCCATCTTAAAGATGGCATACAAGTTCCGGAAGATTTATTACTTAGTAAGCTCTAAAACCAATGATACTGAAGATTAATTTGTAAAAGTTACATTCATAGCCAAACATATTGGCATTGTGTAGTAGCAACAGTCAGAAATAGAATTGTTGGCAAATCTAGCAACTGTTTCCTACAGCAGGAAGAAATTATATTCCATCTTTTCCATTGCATCCCATTAAATTGTCCTTTTCATCAGTTGCATGGTGCATACCATCCCATTAACAGTTATCCCAAGAATCTAAATGACAATTTTGTTCCAGTAGATTCAGCTCCAAGAGTGATTGAGTTTCTATCTTAATATGTAGAACACATTTACAGTAGGCGTTAAGGTTCTTGGAATAATAATTTTTTGTTACCATATAGCATTCATTTCCCTCTTTTCGGTATTATTTTGTTATCAGAGTCAGTTTCTGCCTCTCTTGGGAGACTAAGAACCCTCCTATCTAAGGGACTATCAAACACATCCCCCTGTCAAAACTGCTTGTATTATATCATGGAGACCATTATCTCCAAAAACCAAAGAGACTTTCAAGTTATTCTGGATCTCTGAGATATGTCATTTTCTAAAATTTAGTTTATCTCACTTAGAATTTCTGTTTAATTGAAGAATGCTGGTTTCATTGATGGGATTTATCAAATTCTCCTGTCTTTTTTTTCACTCTGCTTGATTATAGACAGTACCTTTGTTTCTGATTGGGTAAGTCTGTATTATCCCAATAAGCCTTGCTATGACACCAGAATCTTTACAAACTTTATAGAAGTCATGAATATTTATTTGTATTTGCGGTAAATTACAGTATACTTGTATTTAGATAACTGGTCAGTAGTTTTGTCTTTTAGATACTCTGGAACATGTTCATGTCATATCACTTATCTACTAATGCAACGCTTATTGTACATGTTCTTATCAATTGGGCATTAGCCTCTTTTCAAGGCTTCATGTGAAGTCCCTCAAGGCCTAATTATTCTGCTGCTATCTTACCTTTTCTTGTTCCTTTTCTTCTTTCTTTTTTCTCTCTGCCCCCATACCATCTATTTCACTCATGGCAAAAGCATGCCATATAGGTGAGGAGCACATTGTTAAGGCAAGTAACTATAGAAACTACATTATTCCATGGTTCACAAACTTCATATCAACCAGCTAGAATTCTCAGCAGCGTTCAAGATACTGTGTGCCTTCACCCAGTTACTGCATAGCAGGTCAGGATCCACATTAATTTAACAGCAGTGTTTCTCAACCTTGACCATTTTAAGGCATGTGGACTTCAACTCCCAGAATTCCACAGCCAGCATTGCTGGCTGTGGAATTCTGGGAGTTGAAGTCCACATGCCTTAAAATGGTCAAGGTTGAGAAACACTGATTTAACAGTGACATCATAATTCAGAACCAAATAGCACACAATTAGTATCACTATTCAACCTCCTTACTGAACTGTGGGATTGGTGTACTTACCGATGTGTGTTCATTTGGTGATAAAAACAGTATTTTACCATTCTTCATTTTTACTCGGTGAAGAGGTAACATACTTACCTCAACTGTTAATCGTGGGACTTTATTTGTTCATTTATAAAATAATTTGTATACTATTCCATTCAAAAATTAAATATCTTCAGTAAAACACTTCACGTTTCCAATATTAAACCAAAAATGGTCTTGGTGCCAACTCACTGGGAGATACTTTCCAATTGTGCAAAAGTACATATTTATGTACCTTTGACCCCTACAGCTGCTGACTACCAGGGTCATTTCCAAAATTAATTGCCATGATAAAATTTGCATTGATTGTTTGATGATCCTGGCAGTGTTCCTGTGCTGCAAATACATTTTTCTTTTGTCTTTGACCAGGTGGAACTTCCTATTTTATTTTTACATCCACATTTACTCATTCTTAGATTTATCATGTAATATTTATAACTGACCTTTTCCTCTTTAGTAAGTACAATCCCCAGCACAGAAAGCCTAGGCAGCAACATTTTATATTCTCTACTTTGCTTACAATATCCTTTTTCTTTGCTGAACTTCCCAGGTTCTTGTTGACAAGGGAGAAAGATCTTTTCTTTTTGTCTTCAAAGTATTATCTTTCAGCAACTGCTTTTTTCACAGTTCTGTCAACCCCCCCCCCTTCCTTTCTGTCTTTTCACCCAACTATTACCAGTTTTTGAAAAGTCTTAACAGTTGTTTTCGAATGTGTCCACCACACTGTTTCAAGTTGGAACTTGAAAACATGTTGTCTCTCTGCTGCTTGTAGCACTTTATAAACTATTGGGCAACTATGCAAACCATCTTCTCCTTTGGAAGACAATAGCATTATTGGTAACAATCAATGTTGGTAAGTGAATTTTCAATCCTTTTGCTCAGTACTGTTTTTGAGGGGAAAGTAGTTTTATTTATCTCCAGAATGCTGTATGTCGGGTAGGCAACCTTGGCTCTTTTATGACTCGTGGACTTCAACTCCCAGAATTCCTGAGCCAGCCAAGAACCAAGCTGGCTCAGGAATTCTGGGAGTTGAAGTCCACGAGTCATAAAAGAGCCAAGGTTGCCTACCCCTGTTCTATGTGTACCAGGAACTGGTCCTTTTCATTTTCTTTCAGAAAGAAAGACTCTCTAAATGCTCTTGGCATCAAAATGTGATTGTTTTCTGTGTCTTTCTTCTCATATCCACACTTCTTCATTTTATATGCTAGACTGAAGCAGGACTTTCCAATTTAATTGTGGTGTTTATTCAATTAGATAACAGTGTCTATGATTTGGTAAAACACGTTCAGCTTTCAGAACATTCCATTCAAGCAGTAATTGTATCAGTAGCATTTTTAAGTATATGCTTCTTCCTAAGATTTACTAAGCCATCACCCTGGTTGCAAACATTAGGTATTATTGGCATGATACTGCCAAGATTTTGATTGACAGAATGTTGTCTCTGGCATGCAGTGCATTCTCATATTATCCAAGGCTACCTGCCTTTAGGTAACAGATACCATATGGTTAATCACCCATATACACGAACCATGGAAATTACATTAAAGAACAGCTGGTTATTGCCGTGGATTGATGAATGATCTCTGAATGCAGTCCTCCACTATTCATTTTGCCTGCTTGAATTTAAGGATAGTACCTCAATTTTGATCTGCTATGGCATGTGGAAATATCTCACTCTTTTCATATGCCATGTCACAGCATGAGCAAGACTCTTGACCAAAAGTCTTAAATTCTGGAACATTCTGACCTGAGTTATTATATAGTCCAGATTGTTTAAGTATGAATTCATAGTTCAAAAAAATGACAATTAAAAGAGCTTAGACAGTTCATATTGTTTGTGTGCATGCAATATCCCATCACTTGTCTTGCTTTATACGAAGTACATAGTAGCGAAGGTTCTACATTCTAATAAATATAGCACAATCTGGTTAATTAATTCCCACAGTCTGGTTAATTCATTAACTCTTGTGATGAGGAGAATCAGTTTAAACCAGGAGTGGATAGTTTGAGAATTTAAGGTCTCATGCAGCCATCCAGAGTCTTGAGTCCAACTTTCAGAGAAACTCTAAAATTGTTACCAAATTGTGGTTTCAATGAAGTATAAGACAAAATGTTAGATACATGGGAATAGTAAAACTAATTGCTTTTAATTAAAGCAATTTTAGTGATTTTCCCCTGCCTCCATGGTTTTGTCACATTGATTTCTAGCAGCCTACTTAGGACAAGCATGACCCATGACTATAAAGTGCATGTTCCATTTCCCTGAAATAAAATAGTAATGAGAAATAGGGAATTGCTTGAATTAAACTCAATAGCTGGGCATGTTTTTAACATACATTTACTTTTTTCACATACCTGCATTATTCATGTTAGCTTTTGTTTACAAATTGAAGGAAAGCTCTGTTTTACATGATCAAACTATTTTAATAAGCTATAGCTTTAGAAAGTGGTACTTTGCTTTCCCTGATTCACTAAGCATTTTGAATTGTTGAGCTGTTTTTGAATTAGTCATGTGACCTTAATTTATATTTCACTATCATTTCGATCCTAAATGTTCTCTGAAGAATGTGCCAGCATTAGTATTTCATCTAGTGCCAGCTTTTCTCCCCAGCCCTGTTTTCCTACTGCTTTTGTGGTTCAAGATTATATAGGCCTCATCATAGAGCTTCTGAATAAGCTTTTTGTCTCCCAAAGAGCTAATTCCCCTCTCCTGAAGAATTTGAAAAATGATTCTAAAAAGGCTATATTTTATTTTATTTGTCATTCCAATAGGCTTATTGGAAGTGGTATGCTGTATTTATCACTTTCATTGACCAATGGAAATAACACTTTTGGAAAAATATTGTTATGGGAATAACCTGAGCATCTGATAGAAACTATTTTGTCTCTGTCCATTTAGAAATATGCTAATTTTTCTTTGTCTTGTTTTGATTCTGTTAATAAGACTTAAACATTACATCTTCTTCCACCTTGATTCAATAGTTTAGTTTAAGTTTAGTTTAAGTTTCTTCTAATGTAGTCTAATCTAATCTAATTTAATTAAGCTTAAATAAGGAAATTGTGCCAAGTAGTGCATTTTTTTCAACTTAGAGCTGATTTGCTACCTATTCTATTTGTTCAGTATCAAGAGATTTTAATTAACATTTAATGACTGTGTAAAATCATCGATTTGCCTGAGGAACATACTTTATGATGGAAATTACACAGCGAATAGTGCGATCATTCAAAATATATTCCATAATATATATCCAGCCCCTTATTTCCTCGTAAAAATCTGCCTCATCTCTTTTGAGGTTGTCATCTGAGTAATACAATAGTCCCATTTATAAAAGGAGATAATAGTAGATATACTTTACTACTAGGAAAAAATCTGAACCGGTTTAATTGCATTTTGCCTTCTTCTTATGAGCAAGTACAGTTTTGCTAGTCACACAGTTCCAAGTCCAGCAAAATGCTCAGAATTAATAAACAAAGTTAACAGGCAATGAGAGTTTTGCACATAATAGTCCTCCTATCAGCATAATATGTTCGGTGATCCTCCACAATTCTTTTTACATCAAAACTAACTCTGAATTTTACCAGCTTGGCATTAGATTTATTATTTATTCATGCCATGAGCAGAATTTCCCTTGATGTTCTAATCACTTCCTAAAGTAAACTCGTGAATTCCACCAACACAGAAAAAAGCAAATACTGCTACAGCAGCGGAATCTCTTCTATTTGTTTCTTTAGGTGGTATTTCTCCACCCTAACATATACCATACTTCATGAGAAATGCTTGAAGTAGCTTCCTTGCTTATTAAGTGGGAAATAATTAGGGCTTAGTACACTTAAAATAGCTGCAATTTTTCAGGTAACTATTGCAAAATTTGCTTATAGCGATTAAATAAGTGAGTTTTTTCACAGTTTATGAATACTTTTTCTGAACGAGTTATTCAAAGTTCTTCTGTGTATCTACCTCTACAATTGCATTAAAGAATACAAAATAAAGACACACTAGGAATCTTCTACATAGTGTTTTAGATACCATTTGTTCTAATATATTTGGCCAACTAACTCATTGTTGTTTTTATTGTCTTCCTGCTATTTTTTAGGATCACCAATGAACTTAAGATCTGTTACTTTTTCACTTGGAAATGTCAAGAATTTAGCCTGAGAATTTTAGTATTCAATGGTGTCTCCTTCTAAACTATAGTCCTCTCCCAAAATATAGACAACCAGCAGTGGTGTCAAACTCAAATAGAAATGGGGACCACTAAACCATAGTGCATATTGATTTAGAAAACCACACTTTTTTATTAATGCATCAGCATGTTAAAATTAAACAGGAACTAGATATAACCAATACATAAAAAACATTGTCATGAATTGGTCTGTTTCTTTTCAGTATTTATGTATGACTGTATGGGTGTGGGTATTTATGTGAGGGTGATGAATTGGTTTGTGTATATACGTGTGTGTGTGTGTGTGTGTGTGCGCGCGTGTGTGTGTCCACCATCCTGCTCTGAGCTTCCACCTGGCCTACCATCAAATTAATGCACAAAGCGGTGTCTCACTTCTTACTTTGGCTTACCGCTTTCCTGAAATGTTCCCTATAATTTCTGACATGTCTTTAGCCTGCTCCACCACAAGGCCAAGCAATCCTCACTATTTAGCAACTTTATGACTTGTGCACTTCAACTCCCAGATTTCCCCAGCCTGAAGGCTAGGGAATTCTGGGAATTAACGTCTTCAAGTCTTAAAGTTGCCAAGTTTGGAGACCGCTGAGTTAAACCAAGGCAGCAAACATGTTCAAGATTACTCACAAGTTTTATGATGATTGGTAACTAAATCTATTATTATTTAGTAATATCCATGTTTTATTGTATTTTTATTTTGTTAAATACTTTCAAGTTGCATTTTAATTTGGTTCAGGTCATACTCTGATGTGTTTGCTGACTTAGTACTGGATTGGTGCGACGCACAGTCAGAGCCAGCATGTCTTAAATCCCAGCCCCGCCTGAATCACCCACATTCCAACTTCTCCTCTCCTCCATTGCAAATGTCAGGCTAGCAAGATGCAATACAAAGCAAGAAGCAGAATGTCAGCCAAGATGCAATACAAAGCAAGAAGCAGAATGTCAGCCATGACATGCTGCCCCTCCAGAAAAAGGCTCTTAGAGAAGAATGGCAGCCATGACACATAGCTTGCAAGATAGTTGGAGAAATATATTTCCTTACAGAATGTTCACAAACTCTTAGAAATGGTCAATGCAAATAATAACTTTTGTTGCACTTCTTTTCTTTGTTGCAAAGTCTAGGGATTCTATCAAATTAAACGATCTGAAATCTGAAGTGTCACCACGGATCTCAGCTGAAGATTTGATTGACCTCTGTGACCTGACAGGACCTGGCCATTCTAAAACGCCACCAAAGAAGACAAAGTCTAGCAAACCAAAGTTGCTTATTGTTGACATTCGGAACAGTGAGGAGTATCCTTCTATGCTGAAAGTCATGGCTTAATAATTTCTCATAGTTTTTGTCATCGTCACAGTTTTGGGTTGAAAAGTATTTTATGAGAAATGGGAGAAAAGCTTCACACTAATTGGAGGGAGATTAGTGATTGAAATCATAGGACTGAACTATCTTTAATCCATTATGTGGGAGGGGGAGAACCTCAGCACTTAGAAAATCAGACATCAATAAGAAAACAATCTACCTTTATTTTCTTAGTTACATCTTTTTTCTATGTTCATTTTTAACAAGAACAAAAAATCAAAGCAAACAAATCAGCCTGACACAGAATTAACCATCTTAATATCAGCAGTGCTAGAGAGTTGCACTATTAACCTTGTGTGATAGATGGGGATGAGAAATAGCCCAGAATCACTGTGTATGAGTTGGGTGGCTATGTAAATGTGATAGAAAAATAAATACATAAATAGTGATGTGCAAATATTAATGTGGAAATCCTTGGCTGAATGTAGAATAAAATCTCTTTCCCTAACTATTGGAAGTTTCAAAACATGGTCCACTTACTGTAGCATTACCAATAGATTTTATGCTCCCTTCTGTTCCAATTATAGGTAGTTAACAAGTTTGCTTTCCCTCACTCTCTGCAACAGTGGTTACTGAAACTCTTGGGAAATTCATATTATTGAAAAGGATTGTGAAAAATGATGGTCCTATTTTTTTCCCATCATTTTCCTCCTAGATTCTGGATTTTCTGTTATCTTTCTATCAGGACACACACACCCCCCAGTTACTTATTTTTTCTCCATCCAACATAGCTTCCATTACTCAACGTATCTTTTCAGTGCCTACAAGTCTGCTTTTCAGTAAGACCCAATGAGAAATCCTATGTCTCTTCCTATTGCAGGTACCATTAATTAGAACTGATATTTTTATTTTTAGTGCCAGAGACTTAGAAACATTTAGAACTGAATTACTTTTAAATTTAAACACCCTTTTCTTAGTCACACCTTTATTAGAAAACAGAATTGCTATGGCTTGAAAACAAGCCAAAACCCAACCCTCAGTATGTTGTACTATCTAACTAAAACAACAGTGATCAAGTATAACTATTCTTTATAGATATTTATTAATTTCATGTGCTTGTTCAGGTTTGCAAGGCCAAGCTTCGCAGTGTTAATCTGTTGGCGCTTCATTATTTAGTTTTCTGAAGATTTTCTCCTGCAGTCGTTTAATCTTTTTAAGCCAGATTCATTTATAAGGAAAGCTTTTAATTTTGCCTGCACGACATGTTAAGAAAATCTCACAGAAACCTGAGCAGTTCTGCTACTAATAACTCTTTGTTGAAATTAACAGGCAGCTTTTCTTGCCAAGGCAGTGGGTGTGTAAAGTTAATAACATTTCATCTGTAAGATTTGCTGTTAAACCCAGAGGTTGGCTTTTAATAGATCAGTGAAATATATCCAAAATAGGAAGTACTACAAAAAGAAGCAATAACTTAGAGGCGTTTAGTTCCATAGTCAGTGGAGAACTATATCCCAAGCACAGAAGGCATTTCTCAGTTCACAGAGATCACTTTGTTTTTTTCTCATAAACTGTGAATCTTGGTTTTACTTAAAACAAGAATCTACAACTTGCAATCCTTGGGAACCCTCATAATTCTGATGAATTATGCTTAATTAGATATGACGAATAATCAAACTAGCAGTGTTCAGTTAACCCAAATTAAATGTTAATTAATTTTCTCAACTCTTCCCACTTTTTGGAATGTACTCCCTGGAGTTCCTTTGAAGGCCAAGTGCTGGTTTCAGTAGTGGGGGAAAAAATACTTTTGTGCTCTTAAGGCAAAAGGTTTTTTATTTTCAAAAATAGGCCTGTCTTACAGATTCTTAGGCCCAGAATGAATGGGGGGAGGTGAAAGAAGCAATATGAAAACATTTTGGAATAAAATTCTAGTGAGACAGTTAGGTCATTTCACAATAAAAGTTTCATCTGGAAGCCACTTAATTCAGTTGAAATTAAAATAAAACTCCATTGAGAAAAAGCAGGTCATTTCACAATAAAAGCTTTATCTGGGAGCCTCTTAATTCAGTTGAAATGAAAAGCTTGCCTATAATAGAAGGCTAAAGGCATACTCTAGCCAATTTAAATAGTATTCAGCCTGATGAAGCATTATGAAATTTTAGGCAATTGCATGGAAAGGAAGAAAGAGATTCAATTTCCAAAGCTCATAAACTTGTTTTTGTAGGATAACATATGTAGACTGCACATATCTAATCAACCACTAGATGGAAGTCTGATTGTCCTATATTTGTCTATTCTTTCATCTAGTCTCAGCCCTTTGAGGTATTCCAGACAAGATCCAGAACTAGGAGTATTAGTTCTATCTTTGTTGTAAGCTTTCATTAACAGTATCTTCTTGCAAGTCTGAAAGTATATCTCCTTCCCCGTTGCCTTTACAGTCCCTAGGGTCCCTGAGATGTTTGCCACTTCCCATTGTTCTGCAGATTCAGCTGCTCTTATCTGATTGTTGCCTAGTCTACAGCTCTTCCTCTTATCTCCCAACATCTTTCCCACATACTATTACATCTAATGTTCACATAAAGACTTGGAAACCAGATATGGTGTGCCTATACCCAAACTGCACAGTCAAATAATTTGGTCATTATTCTTGAGCTAGTGTCATTGACTTTTGTAATTAGAGTTTAGCTGTGCTCATCATCTTGTACTTTGATACACCCAATATTCATGCCTAAAAATTTTGATTCAGCATGTTTAAAAATAGTATAATTAATAACAAATTGATTGGAAAATTAGGCCAAATCTAGCAACTTGGAGCTTCTATTTCTTCTTATCTTAGTGGTGGTTCCCATATAAATTCCTATAGAATCTAGGCTAAAAATAATTTGATTTATATTACAGGTATAAGCTGTAGTGAATTATTTTTTTTCTTAAAATAAGGAAAATCTTTGTGTTAAAAGATGGCACCGTGTAGGGTAGCATTTAAGTGAAATAACAATGTAACATTTAAGTGATGTATGTTTTTGCAATATTCAGCAGTTATTTTAAAAAAACAAGTTTAATTATGTTACAAAAATGCCAATCGTGTTTCATTATTTTCATTGAGGATCTCTGTGAAATTCTTTACAGTCCTTTAGTCCTGTTACATACATTTTTGCTACTTATAGTCAGCTCACTACTGGAATGGTTAAGTTTCCATTCAAGATTGGAGTGAATACTTCAAACACATGCACAGTGACATGCTAAAACAATTGCAGAAACCCAACACAAATGTTTTTTTTGAGCATGTATTTGTACAGTTGTCAGAAAGGGCTATCCTATTTTTAATCACTATTATACTACTAATGATAAAGGTGTAGATTTATTTATATGTTTTGTTGTGGTGGTCCAAAGTAAAAGGTAATTATTCCCTCCAGCTAGGTGAAATTAATGAATTCTTTTAATTAGTGGGATGGGTCAGCTTTTTGTTGATCTCAAGCAAATGTTGCTGTTATGCTTCTCATGGTATAATCTTGACAGTCATCCAAATGGAACTGCTTATACAAGTTGTTTTAAGAGGTATTCAAACTAGTATTAATCCTAGATTAGCTGTAAGCCTTCCTAAAAGATTTTAAAAATTAAAAAAATGTTACAATAACTTAAATAGAAAGTTATTACCTTGATTTTTAGCAGGCAAACCAACCATTTGTACCAGTAGATGAAATTGGAACTTGTTTAGCTCCATCAAACATCATCAATTTACTCTTGTTTATAATATTTTATAGTCAGATAGGAATAGTAATGCAAAATGATATGCAATTAATCAAACTTCATTTAAATATTAAAACCTGTATCAATAACTATTCAGTATCAAGCTGAACTGTAGCTATTTTTTTAAAAAAATCTTTAAAACACATTGGATTTAGTAATATGTATTAAAAACATATTTCTTCCACAAATACAGAGGAGAGCATGTTGTACTTAGTATAAGAATGAAAAAGAGCCTAACAGTATTAATAGTGAATATTATGCATGGATATTGAAAAGGAACCTCCATTATTACCCACAGAATTTATTGTCAGTCAGTATTTCTGGGATTACATCTTAAAGATACTAACACAGAAGTTGGAAAGTTATGGATCAGAGTTCTCATCTGGGCTTCGACATTGTCTCAGTTGCTAAGAATCTCATTTTATCTCCCTATGCTCTGAAAAGTCACCCTGAACTCCGTAATAATTTTACTTGGTTATAGAGAAGCTACATAATTTAAAGAAAGAGAACTGCTTCAGAATTCTTACAAATTGAAAAGCAGAAAAAACTATGCAAGATAGAGCAGACCAAATCTGCTGAAGACAGCAAAAATCAGTGCGTTTCTGCAGAGTCATTAAGAGGAAAGAGAAAACTTTGGACAATCACATATTACTAGATATGCTGAGGTTGAATGCCTTTGGTTCAGTTTGAGAGGTGGATATCTAAGTTACATAGTCCTACAAGAAGTCTCAAGCACCAGGTTTATAGCTGAGTTCCTTACTCCTATTTTAGAGTAACAATCTCCTTTGTTCTAGTTATCATTTGTAGAAAAATGGTTCTACTTGAAGCAAACTTTGGGTGAACTTGTCTTGTTGGCGCTTCCCTTATCTGGTGTTCTGCGAAAACCATAACCAATAGCTGCAGATTAATTCCGGCACTGAATAGCTTACAATTTCATTTCCCATCTTTTGTCCTGATGGACCATTCTACATGTAAATGTTGCTTTTAAGGAGAGAATCAGAATGGGATGGGGATTCTTTCAGAGTTTTCATTAGTAGTCAGGAGAACACTGCAATCTGATTCTGGGTATGTTTTTTAGTGTTTTTTATTGTTTTAAAATGTTTTAAGATTTTAACTGTAATATATGCTTTTGAATTGTGAGCCGCCCAAAGTTGCTTGCTGAAATGGGCAATTATAGAAATTGAATAAATAAATAAAATGATGGCAGCATTTGTAAGGTTTCTAGTTTTGCTTTTGTTGCTCCTCCTCCTTCTCAGTTTCCTTAACTAAAAATTGTTTTATTTAGTTTTAACCGTGGACATATACCAGGAAGTATCAATATCCCATTTGGATCAGCATTCACTGCTGAAGGAGAATTTATCCAGTGCCCTGCTACTTCCACTCTTCAGAGCTTTAAAGGGAGAGTTGTGGTGATAGTAGGACATGTGCCAAAGAATGCAGCACAGGTAAGTTGGATGGGGGAGAAAGTATGTATATTGTTCAGAACAATGATTGGTAAATAATACAGTACCTGGACTGCAATTTTACAGACAACTTACAGATGTAAAAATGTGTACCCCAAATCCACCATTAACTACCGTATGTGCACACCTTAAAAATTCAAGTAATACCTACATAAACATTGAGATTTCAAATGCTTTTATAAAATGTCTAGGTCATCCTTTTAGCCTGGTTATTTGGACTATAACTTTGATCATCTACAATAAGTTGTGGAAATTTAATAATTTATTTATTAATAGGTAAATTTGTTTGTTCAGTAAACAAATTTGATTAACAGGCAACTTAATTATTCCATTCCAAGATGTCTTACACTCTAAAATATATACAATGTTTCATAACAAGGATAGGCTAAAGAGACCAACCCATGTTACAATAAAAAGACAGTATTTTATTCCATTATAGTTGATGCTTGCCCGAAATGATAATATTGTAAGGAAATCATAGGGAATGGCAGGGTAAAAGAATTGTCATTTTTAACAGGTTGCTAATACCTAGCAATCACAGGTTTCAACAGGTTGCTAATACCTAGCAATCACATCTTCTCTCTCTGGTGAGAAAGAAGTTCCTTGAGGATGGAATCCAGCACGAGTCCTAAAGCTCAGAAGATTAAACATCTGGTCCCAGTGACCAGCCAAATTGGATCCTGACACATTTGCCTTATTTCAAATCACATCTTTCAAAATAGGATTCCCTGGATGTCTGATTCCAGAAGAATCTTGGGGATCTCTGGATCAAGTTGCACCCAAACTTGGCGGACCAGAATATTTTAGAATTTAAAGGCTATGCTTTTGTGGTTACAGCTATTAAAATGAATGGAGCAATTAGTGTCTGGCAGGGAAGAATAAATTAAAGGGATGGAGGGACATATTCAGAATGATTCAAGGCATTTAGTACAGAGCAGAGGGAGATTTCTTGATACCATATATAACAGTAAATCATGCTAAAAGAAACATTCACTTTCCCTAGCTTTTTCAGTTACAGTATAAACAATCTTTATTTTAAAAAAGTCTCAGATATTTATGTTTTAAATATATATAATAAGTATAGTAAAATACAGTAAAAATACAATGAAGTGTTTGAGAAGTAACAGAAAAATTAAAAATATTTTTTTTAAATAAAGGAGGGTTATTAAGGAATTGCCTTACTAAAATTCTTTAATTCTTTTATTGATTTATTTATTTAGCAAATATGTGCCCCAGGGCAATCAAACAACTTGGCAATTTTCATATGAACTGCATATAAAACAAGAAAAAACATCCACAATCACAATCAGAGCATAAAGACAAAACAAGACATAGCCCATAAAAAACAGAATATAAAGTTGTGGATCCAAGAAAATATAATAAATGTGCATATTCTATTGACTCAGCAGCAGTATTTCCCAGCAGTGTGCCCGAGGCCTACATTGTTTGGTAGTTTGCGTTGAAATGCTGCTTGTTTTCAGTTAATGTATATATCAAGGAACTTGTGCACATTTCATTAAAGGAACAGCAGATTTATACATATTTTGGGATTCTCTAAAACTGTTACTACAGTATTTCTTTTTCCCTTAGGTGTTCTTGTAACAGCTCCATATTTCCTGAAAAATTAGAATTTTGAGTGTTATCAAAAACAATTCAGAACTACCATGTACAGCAGCAGTCCCCAATCTTTGTGGCTCCATGGACTGGTGGGGGGGGGGGAGATGGTATGATTTCACACACGCACCCGCCGCTTGCACAAATGGAGGTTTGTGCACTCACCTTTTACTTGTGCAGCCCAGTTCCCAATGGGCTATGGACCATTACTGGGCCACAGACTGGGGGTTGGGGACCCCTATCTACAGATTACAAAGCTAGTAATGTAAGTTGCCCAGTGTCGCAATAGAGTTTTGCCTTTGAGACTGTCCATCCATAGCAATATCTGTAGTGCAGTTTCAGGAACTGATTGACTGGATATATACTAACTTGCTCTATGTGAAGTGATTTAGGACATTAGTTATTTTCTAAGTTATAAGGCTAAATCAGCTAATAAGGGGACTCTGGTTTGAGCTGATAAGATTTTCAGTAAGAAATGTTCTTTTAAAAGAGATAGCCAACTTTTAGCTTCATTAATCTGGTGACAGTAATATTTAGAAATTTTGTTCTGTGATTCTAAAAACAACAGGTTCTTGAGCTCAAGCTCATTCCAGATATAGTGAAGATTAAACAAATGAACTTTACCTTTTCCCTGTTTTTATAACTCTTAGTGATTAGGGAGTGTGAACTTTTTATCACCATTCATTTATTTTGCCCTGTAAAAATTATGTTATTTTTCTTTAAGTTTCTAAGTCATTAGCTGGAACCATTTTTAAATAGTTTGGTTATATTATTTTACTATAGCATTAGAATGCTTGTTAGTGTATTATATTTTTAGAATTACAATTGATGGGATTTCATTTCCCCCAAACTGTATGTGTTCTTTTTTAATTCTGACAATGAAATAAGGCAGGATGACACATTCCTGGCCTCAGCATATATCTCTTTGCTTCTATGAAACTGATTGATTTTTAAATATGTTTGGTGACCTTTCCATGTGGGAACTGTTTCTTGGCTGATAACTAAAGAAAATTATTTGTTTCATAGCATCACAAGTACTGGGAAATTAACTTTAGGGTGCATTTTCAGTGGAAAATTATTGACTCAGTGGCCCAAAATAACAATAGTACACAGTAGATACACATAGCAGCATTCATTAGTGTGTGCCAAATCAGCTAATCCAACTCTGGAACCAACCCAGTCTCATGGAGTTATTGTGGAGATAACCCAGAGTTAGCATCAGAAAATAGAACAACATTGTCTCATAGCTGAGCATGGGAAAACCAAAACAATTATTTTTGTTGTTTTTTTACCAGTAAGTGAAATCCACCAAAGAGTGGAAAAGAACATGCTACAAGAAATTAAAATATTTCAAATTTTGTACAATTACAGATTTTTTGAAGCCACAGTTCTTCTACAAATGTGTTGTGTTTTCTTATTTTCAGTTATCCATAACTTAGTTGTTTGGGAACATTAATTTTTATATAATTATAAAAGTCCCCAAGGGGATGAACAGCTTTGTAAAGTTTCAGACATAGGTTATCTGTTGAAGCATAAATAGACAAGATGAAGTCACGAATCTTGTCAGTTGGCCAGATCAGTTAGTTAATGCAGTTAACAAACATTATTATTCAGATAAGAAACTGGGAAAAACCTGGTGAAAGATTTAAAAAGGTTTGGAGATTTTTGAAAATTATATTTGTCTCATTGTTTATATGAGTTAAAATCAATCATGGAAGGCTAAGATGAGAAACAGTATATAAACAGCAGGTGCTTCATTTTTTCTATCATTTAACATGTATTGCAATTACAGTCATACAAGCATCATAAAAGTATATTGTAAGTGAAATGCTGAATGATAACAAGGAGATATAGTATTTGATGACCCTGTCTTCTGATAATAATGATGATATATTTTTAGCCTATTAAGACTCATAGACTTTTTCATTCTATTTAATTAAATAGCATATGATGTAATGAATGTTACAAAATTCACTTACTACTATCTTCAATAAGATTTTTGTGCTTTGCAAGAGTGGAGTGATTATTTTGAAAATGTGTCTATTTTTAAAGAAAGGAGATAAATCCATAAATTAGATCTCAAATTTAAAATAATATATTTGACTGTACTGTATGGTAGGTTTATTTCTTATCATATTTTTCATCTACCTAGATTAATAGGAACTTTAAACTGCTTATAAGCTGAACTCTTATACCTGCCATTTCTACTTGAAATTATGGAGTGGAAGGGGTACATTCCTTACCAGTTGAGAATTTAGGGAATGTTCCTTTTATCTTGAGTGAACAAATAATGCATTTTTGTCATAGTTTGTTCCTACTACTTATCTCACTCATTACCTTGATGTTTGTAGAGTTGTACTCTTTTGGTTTGCTTTCACTTGTTTTAAATTCCAAGCCACATCTAAGAAACTTTCTTAATGCTTTCTGCTTCATTGTTCAAAAGATCGTTATTGGTCAGGGTTGTAGAATTGTTATGTTGCCAAATCAAGTGATTCCAGATATCAAATCAAGTGATTCCAGATTTAAATATTAATGATACTGCTGGGAGAAGATTCATCAAAATATTTGGTTTACTATTGGTTCCAAAACTTTGGCTTTTGAATATATTTTGATGAGTGGAAACATTTAGATAAAGAAGTAATTCAAATGCTTATCTGTATTAATATTCTATAAAATGTAAATGTAAAATCAAATAATTCAGGATTTATCCCTTTCTTTAGTGCATTCTTGTTGATTTGTAATATTTTATCTAATTTTGAATTTATTATAAAAAGATAAAGAATAACCTGCTTTGAAAGCATGATCCCAGAAAGCCTCAAGGCCAAGACAATACATAAACTTTATTGATGTATAAAAATGCAGGTCTTTTCCTATCACCCTGTTCTAAATCTTCAATTATTCTTTCCTAAAGTCATCTACTACCATACAAAATTAAAAGCCGTAAAACAATTAGCTTTTGATACATGACTATGTACAGGTAGTCCTCGACTTATGACCACAATTGAGCCCAAAATTTCTGTTGCTAAATGAGACAGTTGTTAAATGAGCTTTGCCCCATTTTACAACTTTCTTGCCACAGTTGTTAAGTGAATCGCTTTAATTGTTAATTTAGCAATGCAGTTGTTAAATGAATCTAGCTTCTCCATTGACTTTGCTTGTCAGAAGGTCGTAAAAAGTGATCACATGACCCTGGGACACTGCAACCATCATAAATGTGAGTTAGTTGTCAAGTGTCTGAATTTTGATCACATGACCATGAGGATGCTGCAACAGTGTGAAATATAGTCATGTCACTTTTTTCAGTGCCATTGTAATTTCAAACAGTCACTAAATGAACTGTTGTAAGACCACCTATATAAGTATTTTGA